GTCGCTGGGAGTGCGAAGGACGACTGACCGGCACGACGCTGTGAAGGTGCTGGCCGCCGGCCACGATGATTATGATTCGGGGTATTATGGTGGCCAGGATGCGATGAAACGACCGTTGCTGGCGAAAGGAAGCAATGATGCTGCGGATGATGCTGATGGGCTACAATGCTAAGATAAGGATGACGGAGCTAAGAGACAAAGCAACACGAACAAATTGACCAAACGGCAACGCGCTGAGTATGCCCGTGGTGAGGCTGAGGCAGAGGTCGATGACCATGATGACCGAAGTACTGGTCGACGGTAGTGGTGATGGGTTTGGCTGTGGTGGTTGTTGTTGTGCTGGCATGCAAGAACTGAAAGGTCTTCGAAGATAGCTTGCCGCATGAAGGGGCGTGCAATGAGGGGTCGCAAGTGGGGGGGCATGCCGTTCCGCACATGTTTCGGACCAGGTGCCCAGTAGCCGTGTTTGGGCAGGCAGCTGGACCTGAGACATCCGGAGTGGCACAGCTTTCGAGTTCAGGGCTCGCCGCCAATTTTTGCAGACACTGCGATCTTGACCAAAACAATAGCACACGCGAGAGACAGCGTCGCTGCGGCAGCAACCGCAACGGCACTCGATGTAGAAGGAGCAGCCCTAGCAGCAGTAGTAGTAGTAGTAGTAGTAGTCGTCAGCCAGGCCACCTCATGTTAGCTCCAGCCGCACCGACCAGGGCAGCATTAGCCAGGAAGCCTGATTTCGCTAAGGATTGGCTGACTGTGTAGCGTCGGAGGTGGGACATGGCCCTGCGTGTTGGGCTCTACATATTCCCTGATGTTGCTGGAGATGCCTTTCATACGAATACTGTGCAGTGTTTCGGGATCTTCCTGGAAAGTCTCAAAACAGGATCGAAAACATGTCCGTGGGGCCGTGGGGAAACGTTACGATCCAGCCAATATGCCAGTTCGCTGCAGTGGTTGAAGGTCTGACAATGACCTCTTACACCCAAAGACTTAGCACGCCGGAAACAGCACACGAGGGCTGCCAGCTGCAGACTGCAGTAACTACAGTCGCTATGGTTTTCGGGTAGAGATATCGGGGATGATCACAAACTAAAAGCCGACAGTTACATGTTACAGTTGGCCCGCTTAGCTACACGCATCAGGGTGGCGATCAACAGCCGCAAACGCTCAAGTGAAATCTCTCGGACAGACAAGCACACGGACTATAAGTGCACTCGGTGTCGGCAACCTGATTCTGGAAGTTTGATAGACATAGTTCAGAAACCAGCGAAGGCCGGCCACACCCAAAGCCTTTGCAAACGCTGACGGAAGAAGGAAGGACGTCAAAACGTATCCCAGGATTCACGTACTGCTACTGTTGAGAGCGTTCATACCTCATAAGAGCCCTCATCCGGTTTATGCCTGTTCATAATCGTGCACACTGAGGTTCTTGGTACCCGCACTACTACCCGCATCCCCATTACCAGGACGTTTTAATAAGGCATCAAGCGATGAGCATGACACTTCCCAGGTTGCAACAACAACGACGACAACAACGGTCTTCCTCCTGCCAATTCTTGCTCGCAGGATCTGCTAACAAGTCTGATGCATAACGAGCAAGACGAAACATTTGTTTGAACAAATTTAACGGATTTCTTACATTTTCGAAACTAAACCCTTTTGCAGCACTAAACCCTAAATCCTGGTATGCATTTCGAGCAACCTGTCAAGTCGATGGCACCTTGCCAGTCGGGGCTTTGGAGCTGATAGGCCCGTTGTTGGCGAGTTTTCGAAAATTCGGGACCCTAATATGGTACCTGAATATATAGTAGGATCCTGATTATAAGGACCCCAAAATAAGGTACCCCTAATTTTCAAAAAACTCCCGTTTAGGGTCCTTGCCTGATCGTTTGAGAGGAAGGGCTTCTTGGCCAAACTGGCCATCATCGGCTTTTGCACAAGGCGAGGATAGGGTTTAGAAACCCAAAACCTCAAAGCGTGCTTGGAGGCCCTTTTGACTTAGTAAGTAGGGTTAGTAAGGTGGGTTATGGGGATTATAATGGGGTTTCTAGGGGATACTAAGTAGACTTACTAAGTCAACAGGGCCTCCAAGTACATCGGAACGAATGCCGCAGGGCGGACTTGCGACCTCACGAGCCCTTGCTGTTACATGTCCAGGGTAGTGTAGGGACCTTCATAATTAAACAGAATAGGGTTTTGGGACCTGTTGTAGTATGGTTATATCACAGAGGGTTTTGGGATATGTTATGGTATGGTTATATCACAGAGCCCCACGGATAAAAAACAAAAATATGCTGCACTGGCTAGGACGTGTTGCTCATAGTGGGGGCTCCCGACACATGGCATGCCTCAATACTAGAGCGTCTTCGCCGCACAGTGCCGACAGCCGACAGCTACTCTGAACCCTACTTAAAGGATCATGGGACTTAGTAACTGGGGTTATTAAATAAGGTAACTATACTTATAAGTACTTATAACCCCAATTAAGGCACTTATAACCCTACTTACTAAGTCCCATGATCCTCCAAGTAGACACTGTGAAACCAGTCCAGGCAGCTACAGCAGCCTCTTATGCGCTAGCTAGGCTTCACCTGGATGCCATAGCGAAACCAACCCTACCTTAAACTACCAAACCCTACTTTTTTGTAGGTTCTTGTTATAAACCTAATATGGAATGTAAAGGGGCCCTACAAACAAGTAGGTTGTGGTAGGTTAAGGTTGTTATCAAGTGTAATTCATGTTTAGAAAGCTTATTAAGATTAGAGAGCTTATTAACTCCCTGGAAAACCCTATACAGACTTTTTGCAACCCTTATAAAGGCTGAACTCCCCGCCACAAAACCCATACGAAACCTCATAACTATTCACCCGATGCATATAAGCTAGGGCAAAAACTGCTAATCTCATATCAGGCCCTCAAAGCCTTCTTATGAAACAGAATCCTATGAACAAAGTCATCAGTTCAATCACTAATAGAAGAAGAACCCTAAACCCTGTTTGCGCAGACTTGTAAGAACCCTGTTTAATCACGGACTTGCAGTGTATGCCCCTAGACCCTAAACCCACGAATTTTGGGGTTCGGGGTGGCCGAGGCACAGCCGGCTTGGACATTGAAGGTTGGACCTGATCGGGCTTCGGGCTTTTGGGGGTCTGGGGTTTACGGTTTAGAGTTTAGCCTATAGTGTGGTTTAAGGTTTAGCATTTAGGGGGTTTTGTGTGTTTAGTATGTGGCGTTTTGTTGTGGAAGGTTGCTAGGGTTTGGGGAAGTACGGTTTGAGAGGTTTGGGGTATTCAGGGGATTAGGGTTCAGGGTCTGGTGCTTGAGGCTTGAGGGCCTTACGGATTCCGGGCCCAATTAGGGTTTAGGGTCTTTCGGGTTTACAGTGAATGAATCCAATAGGTTTTTCGCTTCGTGGGTTCAAAATCTGACAACTGCTCTGTTGAATTAATAAAGAAGCTGTTCAAGTGGCTTACTTGGTGTGTGCGTGTGTGTGTGCACTTAGAGTTTGGGATTTGCGGTTCCGGGGTATGGAATTAGGCTTGCAGAGGATCTGCATCAATGTTCCCGTTATGATCTGTTGAGCTTTCGCCAAGGCATGAATGTTAACCAACATTCTCCAAGAAACTAGATGCCCGAAACCACTCAAACCAAGCATTCTTCTTACCACTGGGCTCCTTTCCAGCCATCCAAACCCTACTCGATAATGCCCTGTGCCCTCTACCCAGGACAAGCGTGAGCCGTCAAACCTAGACCCTCCATGGTGCTGAAGGTTTACAAGTACCCCTAGGCTCCATAGTAGTTCCTTTTTGGGGTTCATATTTAGAATCCTATAAGGTGATCCCAAAATGGAACTACCATTGAGCCTCTGGGTAGCCGAGGGTTTCGGGTCTAGTGGGGGGCCTCCTGACCAAAAAAGCCACACTGCTTCTTAGCCTAGACCCAAGAGTAACCCAGGCATAAAAAGGATGCCCTTTTTGGTTTAAAGGGGCTTATAAGGGAGCCTGAACCCTAAAAAAGGGAATAAGGGCCTACTCTGGGTCCTAGTAGCCCTCAAACCTAATCTGCAAGCCTCAGCAGATATGTCCTGCCCTTATCTAAACTCTACAGCCCCAGCACAACACAAATCTGCTCACAGCATCGCTGAGGACTTGACCATCCTCCCTTGAATCCCCGAAGTCTTCAACCACAGACTCCCTGGACTCAAGACCCCTAGCCAGAAGCCCTAAATTTACACCTACCCATATACACCCTGAGACCCTAAGCCGTGCGACCAAATGCCGAGAGTAGCTGTTGCCCAACCTAGAGCCCAAAACCTCTCGACTTCAAAGCTTAGATCATGATTCCTTCTCTTTTTTGGTTTAGGGTTTAGGGTTTAGGGTTTAGGGGATCATTGAGGAACCCTAAACTCCGAAACCCTAAACCTTAACCCTAAACCCTTTTTTTTCAACGAGGTCTCTCTGAAACCCTAAACCCCTTGTGCCTAAACCCTAACCCGACCCTAAAACGATCCCAAGTCTTCCAGGCTCTCATCCGTCCGAGCGGCCGCAAGAGTTGACCCTCAGAAGCCACAGGGTCGGTTTAGGGTTTAGGGTTTAGGTGGGTTTTGGGTTTCTAGTTCATGGTTGGGATAGGATCAAAAATGTACATGTTTATGCCTTATGGGGTTTAAGTACCCATCAAAATGTAAAATGTTGCCCAACTATGAGAAAGGTTTAGTTTAGGATTTAGGGGATTAATATAGGGGCCTTAACAACTAGAATAGGGTTTTGGGGCCCATTATGCCATCCTTTTAATAAGGAAGCCCCAAAATAGTATACGTAAATATTTAGGCCCCTATAGGGAAAAAAAGGGAAAAGGGTTCAGGGTTTAAGTTTTAGGGGTTTAGTGGGTTTGGGCTTTTGGAAACCCCGAACCCTATACCTAAAGTTCGGGCCGCACGAGCGCTGGAAAAGAACTCATCCTGAAATCCCCAAGCACCCAAAGGCTACTTCCGTTTCTTCTCAAACTTGCTCCAGGCACATATCCTCGATGTAGATGGCGATGTAACCCCAAATCGCCAGGTTCAGTTGGACCATGGCTGCGGCAGGGAATCAGCATATGGGAGTTTCCGAAAGTTAGGGGTACCGTATTTTGTTGTCCTTTTTGAAAGGATCCTAGTATTCCGGGTGCTATAGTATAGGGTCTCCTAACTCTCTCTTGCTTTCGCGCACGCACAGGCTTCGGGGGTTCACAGCTAGCTTCCCGAACCAACTCCAGGATCCTAATATTGATCATATAACCCTAAACCCTAAGCCCTTATAAACCCTATGCCCTAAACCCTAAACCCCAAACCCTAAGCCCTAAACCCTAAGCCCTAAACCCTATACCATATAAACGGTTAAACTACAAAAGGATCTACAATACAGCTAATCTTGGCAGAGAAACTACCGAGCGATGTCTGGGTTCGGTGATTGGGGCAATGCTGTGATCCGCGGTTTCGGGGTGTAGTGATTTAGGCCCGGTTGTAGTCGCGGGCCAGTTGCCAAAGCAGTGTGGGATTCGCAACGCTTGTATGAATGCCGGAGTGCAAACCACTGACAAAGAAATGCGCCGAATCCACAAGAACGTGCTCAAAGAATCTGCAAAGACGTAAAGGCTTCCAACCATGGAACCCTTGAAAAGGGGTCTTGCTTCACTATTCTATAGTGTCCCCTGCACGTACCGTCTTTACACAAGAACCCTACTTTTTCCTACTCTTCGTTCGACATTTGAACATCCCAAAGATTCCCAAAGCGGCCCTGAAACCGGGAACCCTTGTACAACTAGGATACCCAGTAACCTAAGAATAAAAAGGCCTCTCTTTTTGGTATTGGGTAAATTTATAAGGAACCTAGGACTAAAAAAAGGGAAAAAGGGTACTACTGGGCATCCAAAAATTAGGATAGGGACATCCAAAAATTAGGATAGGGATATCCCATATAAAACCGCTTATAATGAAGCCAATAAGATAGGAAAAATGCTTATGCTTACGTGCTTTTTGGGTCCCTCAAACAATGCGCCTGCACAGGAATCCTGCTGAGCGGCATCGTAAGGGTAGGGACTCTTGCAAGACTTTGTCACCTCCGAGGACGGACGGTACATGTGGTAACATGTGGGAGTTTCCGCAAATAGGGGACCCTAATATAGTACCCCAAATAGTATTATCCTTATTATAAGGCCCCCTAAATAAGGTACCCCGAGTTTCCGAAAATTAGGGGTACAGTATTTGGGGGTCCTTATAATAAGGATCCTACTATTCAGGGTTCCATATTCGGAAACCCCCATGTAGGCAGGACGAATGTGCCGCCGTGGAAATGGCAGTTGCTCGTGATGGTTCAGCAAGCGCGGCTTTCGCATCGTCGCCATAGAGACACCGCATCAAAACTAGTGTCTCGTATAGTAGTCCGAATCCAACAGCCAACAACATCTTCTAAAGGCAGCTCTCAAATGCAGACCAATGAATGCCAATCTGAAACATGGACGTGGATGACACAGCCACGTGGCAGTGCGGATGTTAATGATGATCCTCGGATGGTCGCATGCCGACCCAGCTTCAGGCAACAACTCGTCCGGCGGCAGACGCGATTTGCGGCGCGACTCGACCAAACGACTATTCACGTCAGAGTTTCAGAGAAGAAGAAACCCAATCTAATTGCACAAGGCCCTGAATTCACGAATCTGCCTGAAGGATCCATGGCGCAACAGGGCCATAGCAGGAATAGCCGACAAGTCTCTGACCAATGCTCGAAATGATCTGCGAGGCATCGATTGCACAAAGAGCCTGCAAAGCGGAGCCGTTCGGACGAACGTTCGGGACTGAATAGTCACGGAAGACAAGTGGAGCTTATGATGACATGACCGCAAAATCAAAGCAGTTGCCGAACTGATCGGTCGTTGGATCTAGAAACCCTGCGAAAACGTTTTCTTGCTTCGGGGTTGTTCGCGCTTTTATGAAACCTCCACCCCTAAGACCAAAAGATACCAAAAGAACAAACAACGGCTAAAGATAATCTTTTATGGTGCTTTAAAAAACTGTCAAGGATGCTCCAATAAGTGTTTCTGGGCGCTCTACGGCCGGGGTTTTAGTACGCCTTCGACGAGTGAGGTCCCCTCAGCATAAAACACGATCCCTAAGTTGCGGTTTAGGGTTTAGTTTAGTTCAGGGTTTAGAATTTTTTTGCTTACTTGCAGTACATTGCATTGCAACATCCCGGTTATGGGGCTTGGAGGTCGACAGTCTAGAAAGGTGCTCTTGCAAAGTGAAACCAGAACCTAAATCAAAGGGGAAAAGGAGGGACCCTTAATGGGGACCCCTACCCTATAATGGGCTATATAATGGGTATATCATAGCTATATTATATAAGGGTCTATACCTAGGGGTCCTTACTAAGGGTCCCTCCTTTTCCCCTTTGACTAAATCTGGCCTGGTCAAGGTCTGTATGGCAATCAAAAGGGTGGCTTGTTTTCTTAGGCTGCTTTCTTGCGCGGCTGTTGGATCAAGGGTTGAACTTACACGCCTTTGAGACTTATTTCCCATAGCTCTGGCATTTCATGGTCACAAGAGTAGCACATGTCAGGATGAGAGGAAGTTGATCGGCAAGAGAACCACAAAACATGATCAATGTAGAATCAAAGATGCACCCAAAGAAGTCAAAGCCCCTCTCATCGATGCACATACCTTAACTCACATTATGTCCTGAAGAATTCGTAGGCAGACACGTACTGAAGGGTTTGGATGGGGGTGACTGCATTTTCGCCCCAACTCCCATGTGCGGCCAAAGGCACCCAAAGCATCTGCCGCATGACGTCCAGCTTCCCCACATCATCGGGCGGAACCTGCTCAATGTTCTGCTGTAGCTTCCTGGACGCCAGCACGAACGGTTTCGGAATGAGATTTGTCGAGCTTAATATTTGGCGAGATTCTGTACATGGGGGGCTTCAGCGTTGCGGGTACCGGAGCCATTAACCCCGAACCATACGTCCCTAAACACTGAAGAGGAACCTGCTAAACAACCGGTGAAAGCTATCTTCACAGCTCGCACCTTCATAGAGGCAAAAACTCATCCCATTTGGCTACGGGGGTTGGGGTTCAGACTTGGTGCAACAAAACATGCAACCCAAGACAGGGTCTCAACCCCAAGCCACAGATTCAGTAAACTTTACCTTAACCTACCAAAACCTACTTTTTGTAGGGTCCCTATAAATTCCATATTAGGGTTTATAAAAAGAACCGACAAAAAAGCAGGGTTTGGTAGTTTAAGGTAAACCTCACTCATCCCAAACCTCTGGCCGTGACTTCGTGGGTCCTTCGCGGAGCTTGCGTTGCTTCTCGGACCTTCGTCGCCTGAGGCTTGAGTTTGGGACTGCATGATTTACGACTTAGGGTTCTATCCGACACCCTAAACCCCTACACCATATAAGCCCGAAGCCCTCTCTGACTGCCAAGAATATATAGCCTAGACCTTAACCCATACCTGCAAGGCTCAGGGGTAATGATAAGCAGACTGTAATGATAAGCGGACTGAAAAGTGAGACAGCATGTTCACAGCTACTTGTATGAAATTTCACGTACTTCCTTCCATGCACCCCCCCGGGCAAATCCACGTAGAAGAACCCTAGAGAACTTGTGGGGCCAGAAACTTCAGCGCTCACACGCTTTGTATGGGTTCTGGTGCAGCCCTTAACCCTTGACCCTCATGCAACGCATGGCTTCAGCTTCAAACCTTCTATTGCAATAACAAGTCCGAAGCCAACAACACTGTACAAGTACTTCCCTGACTGCGGGACTATGCCATGACGCCATGGGTTGTTGCCGCATCAATCCGAAACCCCAAGCCGTTACTTACACACTATGTAGACCTCTTCTCTAGGAGCCCTTGTGCATCCACACTGCCCCAAACTTCAGTCTCTGCCCATTGCTGTCCGGGTTAAGGTTGAGACAAGGAGCGAAACCCTAAACCTTAAGCCTTCAAACCTTCAGTAGCACAAACATGTTCATGGTTCGGGGACAACCTAAATCCCCGAAATGGTCTGTCTTGTTGTGCTCGGCCTCAAGACCGCACAAAAACCCAACAGGCTTGGGTTGGTACGACTTTGAAGGTGTCCCCGTGCGATCGTGGGGTTTAGGGGCTCAGGGTTTAGGCATGTCCGGGTTTCAGGATTGGCTGCTAGTCGTGTAGTCAAGTCAAGCTTGGGCACGTTCTTGAAGAGCTTCATGTTATAGTCGAACTTGAGATCGCTAGGATCCGAGTGGTCGATGTCAAGGTATTTCACCTGGAGGGAAGCATGCCTAAAGTCACCACACCGTCGGGTCATGGCCTCCTTCCGGGGTTCAAGGGCTCTTTTCTGATTCGGGGTGTGGTGGCGTACGGTTGAGGATGCTGACTCGCGCACCTCGCACAGGGCAGCCGAGGCTTCAAAACTGGGTAGTTCTCGAAAAAAGGGATCGCTTTTCAGGAACCCCAAAGGAGGTGGCACCATCACAAAAAGATCCTGGAAGGAATCCTAACTTAAATAACTACCCAACTTGTTGAGGGTCTGGATTCCGGCCGCCTCTGGGGCTTGAGATGCCCAACCCATCAAGACCCTAAGGGTCCTAGGTACTGTTATGGGGGATACTTTCCCAAATCATAATAATGATTCCTAGTATGGAAACTCAGCAATCTACTGTACAGCTACTTAGGACCCTTTGAGAAAGTTCAACTACACAAAACAGAACCTTTAAGGGCTTCGAGCCGCAAACTCGCACGATGGACGGCACGGCTTCATGAGTTCAGGCTTTGCTACTGTAGTGTGCGATGGCCTACATGTGCTTTGCTACTGTAGCGTGCGATGGCCTACATGTGCTAGCGTACATGTGCGAGGCACGTGGACAAGGTTTAGGGTTTAGGGTTTCAACTACATTAGCACAGGCATCATTCAAGGCGCTTGCAAGCCTACCTACTAATAACTTACTTGTCGAGCAGCCTAGGGGAACTAAAGGTTTCTCTCCAAAAACGTTCGAGCAGCCTAGGGGAACTAAAGGTTTCTCTCCAAAAACGTTAAAGGTTACCCGCGCTGTGGGGTTTGAGGTTTAAGAATGCCCGTCCTGCTCCCAGACCTCGCCATCTGGATAGAGTGCCTGGGAAAGGTGCCGGCCGATGCCTACGGAACTCTCAGCCCCCTTCTAAGGCAGGCAAGAGCTCGCCCTGCAGACCCTAACCCTAAAGCGGAAGCTCTGCCCGACGCCGTCAAGAGCGTACAGTAGAAGCCAGAAAGTTGGAATATCATTATCGGTAAATTATAGGGGATCCTACCATTAATCCATATTCCAACTTTCTGGAGTTCCCTTCAAGCTCTGACAAAGGACCCTGATCGACTATCAGGTTGTGGGGTCTCCGGCCAAAGCTTGAACCAAGATTCTGCGGCTGAGGCGGCTGTTAAAGCTTGTGCGGAGCTACTATACTGATTGCAATGCGATTGTGCGTGTAATATATGGGTCTTAATAACTCTTAATAACGGTTTGGGATATACTCTACTATACCTCTAGTAAGGAGCCCGCAAAACCCTATTCTGATTCTATTTACTTTTTTGATGCCCTAATTATTAAGGCCTCTACAGTATATACACGCATTAAAAATCCAGCCCAGGAGTGCTCGAGCCTTGACGGTGTTCAGTAGCTCGCCGAGCTGACGTTTCGTTGGCATCTCGACCACGCCCGGGTTCCTTTTGGGCTCTCGGAGTGGTTTTATACGGTTCCTTTCTGGGCCGTTAAAACGGGATTCCGATTTGTAGCTTGGAAAGGGTTTACAGGGTTTCCGTTTTGGGTACCTGTTGAAGCGGGTTAAAGTTTCATTGGGTATCGTTGTGTATTTTGAAATCTTTCTTTGGGCTGACTTTGCAAGTTATGGTTTCGGGTCAGGGGATACAATCCACTTTGAAACCCTTCTATCTCGCACAAGTTCTTCTGACTACGCATGGGTCCTCAAGCACTACATGGTCGAGGTCCCGATGTTTTCTTGAAGGCTCATCGGAACTAGGTGGGGCTGTTAAAGCCTTTGAAAAATATTAGTAAATAGGATCCTCTTATTCCCAATAAGGGAAAATATAAAATGTCCCAAAGCCCTACCAAGGGAAGGTAGGCACTGCCTGCATGAACTTTGAAGCCGGCCCTGAACCCTAAACCCGAAGCCAACCATGATGTCAACAGTCCCCAATTGCTTATTTATGAATTCTCGCGCGCTCTCTCGCTCTCTCTCTCTCTATCTCTCTCTCTCTCTCTCTCTCTCTCTCTCTCTCTCTCTCTCTCTCTATGTATATATATATATATATATGTGACCTTCATTAAGCAATAAGTGTTATCTCGACTCGATAGCTAGCCAAGAATCTCCATCCACTTGTAGTCGGCATCGTCGATACTGTCGAGAGGCATCGGCGGCAAAGGCCCAATGAACGGCTGCTCCGACTTTGCCGGAGAGTCCCTTCTCAGAACCATGGCAACCTCGTGGAGATCTGTCATTTTTGGAGCTCAGGGTTTAGGGTTTAGGGTTTAGCTGTCATTAGGGTTTACGCTCTCGCAACTCGGACTGTGATTAGGGTTTAGACGGTTTAGTGTTTGAGATTTGCGACAAACTACTCGGGATGTTCCACGGTTTGGTTTAAGAGTCTAAGTTATCGGGAGTTTCGGGACTCAGGATTTAGGGAGTTTGGGGTTTGGGGTGTTGGGGCTTCGCATCATAGCGGAGAAGATCCTAAACCCCCAGCTGAGCATTGTGCAGCCACGGAGACAGCCAAGGCTCCACAAGCAAACGCCAAAGTCAAGGCCTCGCCATAGAAGCCACAATGCGGAGAGTGGCTACAAAGAGTTTGGACTTGGGCGTTGCATAGTTCAGGGTTTACGCTCTCGCAACTCGGACATGCCTGAAGAGGTCTCTGGTGCGCATGTGCTTTGACGGTCGGATCTACAAGCTGACTTACGGTTTAGGGGTTTGGGTGTTCAGAGGTTCGGATGGGGCCAAGAGCTTCTACTTGGCTTGCAAGTAAGGGACATTATCAGACAGAAAAAACTCTGAGCTGGGCATTTGGTTCGCCAGGGACCACATGCGGTCGTGTAACCATTGACAGAGCGAGATGGGCGCCCTTTTGCAACTAGTTGCGCAAAGCAGTAACCACTCAAACACAGGCCCTTTTTTTGCAACCCGTCGGTCCCTAAGGAAGGGGCCTCTGTAGTGAGGATATAGGATTCTGTTGGTCATAGTGCATGAAGAGGTGGTTGTTTTAGGACTAGAAATAGAAGGGGACGTTAGTCCTAATCATGCAATCTGTCACAAGATGGCACCCGAACTGGCCCGCTGACCATGGAACTGCAATCAAGGCTCTCCAGATGCCATGAAAACACGGCCTCAGGAACGTTGCAAAAAGACTCTGTCATCGCAAACCTGTGCTTGTCTCCAGTTTCATGGTCTCTATGGGTAGTTGTCAAAGTTATGGTCCTTATTCGGGGTACCCTAAATAATAGATGCCGTATTATAATAGGGCCCAAAACGGGACCCAGCGTCGGCCAAAGCTTTCGTGTTAAAGTTCTATCTTCAAACTCAACTCAACGATCAGCAAGTGAAGGCTCCAACGCTAACTGTTGCTCTCAGACGCTAATGACCCAACCCAGTCTAGGTCACCATGGTGTTAGAAGGTAAGTGCCGTGAGCTTTCGAAGATCTTGCCTCCCCTGGCAAATGATAACTAAGGGCAGGGCAAGGTTTGTTTGGGTCCTATGCTCTACCTTTAAGGGTTTGCGCTCGGGTTACTACCCGCCAGGTAGCCACAAGCGTTCCCCACCCCAAGGCAACAAACCAGGACCTGAGAATCTCCGAAAATAGGCGACCCAAATATAATATCCTAAATAGAAGGATCCTTGTTTTAAGGGCCCCCAACATAGGGGACCCAAACATAATACCCTAAATATTAGGATCCGTACTGCAAGGCCCCCCAAAACAAGGTACCCCTTATTTTCAGAAACTCCCAACTGCGGCAACAGGAAATCGAATGACCACTGGCCCGAGGTGCGACATGTACAGGGAGCATCGGGCGACGGCTCCTTTGTGCCGTCCTGGTCGAAATGCAGTACTACCCAGAGAATCCCAATACCCCTTAATTAAGGAATATACCTTAAATTCTAATATGTTTTCAAGGTAAATTCCTTAATTAAGGGATATTGGGTTCTCTGGGTACTACTAGGACTAGTACTAGTGCTAGCACTACCACTACCACTGGTACTGCTCCTAGTGCCAGTCCCAGTGTTATTGCTAACACTACAAGTACTGTTACTAGAACCACGCTAGAGCCCGTACTATGTAATCCTGAACTTCGAAAAGGTTAACATGGGGGGTACTGTAAGAGCAATCAAACGGTTGATGGGGACCCCAATACAGTACCCTAAATAGTAGAATCCTGAAAAAAGGATCCCTAAATAAGGTAACCCTAATTTTCGGAAACTCCCACTTACAAGTTGAGCGACCTCGAAACGACAGTCCCGAACCCTAAGCCCGACGCGCCGTTTGCACTGTCGGACCTGCGGACTAGTATGGGAGTTTCCGAAAATAGAGGTACCTCATTTTGTGGTCCTTATAATAAGGATCCTACTATTTAAGGTATTATATTAGGGTCCCCTATTTTCGGAAACCCCCGTATGGCCTAGGTTCTGCGATTCAAGGCTTAGGACGGAGGGTCGATGGTTCAGAATTCGTGGTTGGAGGCCCCAAAACCCCAAAACCCAACCCGAAACACCTCAACCCTAATCCCCCAACCCCTAAGCCCTAAACCCCATAAACCCACAAGCCCTAAACCCCAAAACCCTAAACCCTCTTCGTAAGCAAAGGGCTGCAAGGTGAAAGACCGTCCTCGATCCTAAACTTTTTAACACCCTTCTTAAGTCAACTAGACCAGGCGTAAACCGTTATATAGCGCCCTTTAAGGGAACCCTTATGTAACCCCTCATTTCTAGGTTTCTGAGTAGCCCCTTTATCGTAAGAGTACCCATTTACCTACTAGTCGGTTTTAATCAGGGGACCCTAAAATAGAAAGGGCAACATGGTACTACTCAGGAACCTAGGCTTTAGGATTCGGCCCTTAAGGCTAACCCTGAAAGCCTCAGCTTCATACAGCAGCACAAGTGCTACCCCGAAGCTGAAAGGAACAAAGAACAACCCTGAACCCAGTATTCAGGCGATTGCACAAGTCGTGATGCAACCCTGAACCCTAAACCCTATAGACCCCCTAAGCAGGAATGAGGCCTCGCCCTCTGTACTTTGGAGCAGCATGCTGGCAGCCTCGGGATCCTTTGCCAAGTTCATCTGGCTTAGACCTACCAAAACCTACTGTTTCGTAGGGTCCCTGCAGAATCCGCATTAGTATATTACAACGTAGAATAATAAGAACCTACAAAAAACGGAGGTTCCAGTAGCCGACGGTAGGGTGCGGAAGCTCTTGGGACTGAGAAGGACAAGTTTGAGAGCGATGATGGCTCTCCAAAATTTAAGGATTTTTTCCCTCCTACCTAGCAAGGACGACGCCCGAATTGCGGAGTGCATTGCATGAAAGGTTGAGGGTCTTGGCCTCTCGTAATGCGGGCATTTCAAGCAAGCCGGCGGTAAGTATTTTTGGGTGGTATTTGGAGTGCAGGGTGCGGGAATGCTGGAATGAAGAGCTCTTGCGGGGGGTTCGGGGGATAGGGTAGGGGATCGTGGTAGTAGCAGTAGCAGCAGCAGCAGGAGCAGGAGCAGGCGCCGGAGCAGGATGATGTGGCTGCGACTGCTCTTGAAATTGGGAACTCGATTGTGGGACTTGCCCTGGAGCTCCTAAATAAAACCAGTTCATGCCCTGATCACGCCAGGATACCTTTGCCGCCATCTTCACGAGACTGCAGTATACAAGGGACTGTCGCAGCGGGCCAAAATGGCTTTTTCACAGAAGTGTGCGCTTAATGTAGGAACCTGATTAAGACACCTTGGGTCTTTGTAAGGGCTCCTTATATGAATCCTACTATTGTGAGGTTATAATATATGCCCAGGGTGTCGTAATCTCTCTCTCGCCTACATTAGTGTTTCCGCATCAGAAGAAATGCAATGACCTCCCCTGTCTCGACAATGATCCCCATTTCCACTTTCATCGTTATTCCACGTGCCATCCGCATGGTCAGCTCCGGCTGGCATGCGCGCCATGCCATCAATAAGTAGCGGCAGTGAATCCACACCGGGATAGTCATACTTAGTTGCTGAGTTCATAAGCCCCCCAAAAGTGTACACTTTTAGTTTTTATAGTGGGTAATATTATCCCCAAAAGTGTAAAGTGTATCCACTCAGCTACTACGCATAAGAGCAGAAGCAACAGTAGGGTGTAGATGCATTAGCCAGGCGAGCAATGCACCAGGCACAGGGGCGTACATCGTACATCTTGAGAAGCTCCCCAGAGAGCCCAATACCCCTTAATTAAGGGATATAGCCTAAATCATTTTATGAAGCCCCTTATGATTTAAGCTATATTCCTTAATTAAGGGGTATTGGGCTCTCTGGGTCCGTTGACGAACTGCAGCTCAATCGCACAGGCAGCACAACGTAAACCACCAACGGCCATAGCACTACCACTCATACTACTTGTCCTGAGTACTACTGGTACTACTGGTTACGACTGGTACCACTACCACTAGCACTACCACTGCTGCTACGACTACGACTACTACGACTACTACGACTACTACGACTACTACGACTACTACGACTACTACTACGACTACTACTACGACTACTACTACGACTACTACTACGACTACTACTACGACGACTACTACTACTACTACAACTACTACTACTACTACTACTACAGTAACTATTATTATTACTACTACTCCTCCTCCTGCTGCTGCTGCTACTGCCACCACCACGACGACGACGAAACGACGACGACGACGACGACGACTACTACTACTACTACTGCTACTACAAGGATCACAAGCTGGAGCAGGGCACAGCTTCCGCATGCCGATAGAACAGTGGGCACCCTTTGTCCTACTCTTCCGCTTTAAGCAGGAGCCGCCTGATATTCCATGTCTCTCAATATAGGTGGGCACTCCTTTTTCATCGTTCTTTATTCTGCTTCTATTTGGGCGCATGCTCGTCCGAATTGGCGAGGCACGCCCCTAAACCGAATGGCCTGCATATTCTGCAGGTGTTCGCGACCTGGGCATACCCAGAGTTCAAGGTTGGGCTTGTTTTTCGTCAGGCAAGCTCAGCAGTTTAGGGTTTAGGGCCTACTTGTCGGGTGTCATGGGGAACTAAAGGTTACGAGATGATCTTCTTGGTTATATAGGGATTATGTAGGGACTATACTACCCAAAAGAGGTTAAAGGTTACCTACTCGACTACTAGGAGGGTTTGGGGGCACAGTCAGAAAGCTTCACTTTGCAGCTCCGCAACACCCGCTTCGACCCCGATGCCCGACCATGCGCGAGCCACCAACCAACCCTTCGCCCCCAACCCCAAACTCTAAAGCCAGGGACTCCCAAGCCCCAAACAAGCCATAAAGCCTAAACCCCTAAACTCCTAAACTCCTCTACCCTAAAACCCTAAACGTCTAAACCTCTAAACCCTAAACCTGAAACCCTAAGCCAAGGATCCCTCGGAAGCTCGAAAACCGTGGCCGTCGAGGACCGAGGTGAAGTTGACTAGCCTGGATCTCGCGCCGTTTGGGTCTTAGGTTTACTGAGCTTCGACTAGCACACCCGCTCAGCGCAGGCACGGCTTCATGAGGTCTGGGTCTAGTGTTTTGCATTTTTTGGGGGCTCCTTGTCTCGCTGCTGTTATGACTGTTTACGGCTTTTCTTCTTAGGCCCTGTAAACTGTGAAGGATAATAGCTTTCGTTCCTTCTCAAGACTATATACACGTGGAACATTATTTCAGGCCGAGGAGTGAATGTGGTTCTCGGCTTTTGGATTTTGGCTTGGTGAGTCTTTGGGGTGCAGCCGCGAGAACTGTGGAGCTCTATCTCAACTATGCAGGTGAGTGCTGTATTTCGGTGGGGCGAAATGTAGCAAGCTTGAGGCTTCAAGCTTCGGGTTTCCTATGCCTGATCATACCTTGAAAGAACCGGAAGAGTACCCTTGATTAGATATAGCCTTAGATGAACACGCACGGTTAGTTCAGCTAGCAAGGACCGAGCGAGGCACGCGGACATCGGAGACCCCGCAGCCCAAGGTAGCTTGCACTTAGAGCAAGCCCCAAAACCACAAGTAGTGACCACAAGGGATTGTAGTGGCAATTATGCTCAAGGCGTTCGAGGCGGTTTCCTGTCCGTGCTTGTACGTTTAAAGACCCTTATCTCGCTGGTTCGTAGCAGGGATTGAGGGAATGGATTCCTCGGATAGTCCCTTATAGTCGTTTTTATAATTTATTCCCCAATTCCCTGCTAAGAACCAGGGAGTTATAGTACTCTTATATGAACCTACAGCTCTTCGCCTGGGGGCCGGTAGGGACCGGAAATGGTTCGACGGCCCAGAAACCACACTTGTTTAGGGGTTTAGGGTTTCAGGCTTTAGGGGTTTATGGGTTTAGGGGCTTTGGGGCCCAAGGGCATCCAACAAAACGGACTCATCCTGCGGTGATTTGCCTCTCGCCCGGCTAGGACTTATCGTCCTGTTTAGGGTTCAGGGGTCGCTAAACCGAAGCCCTAAAGCCTGATAAAACATCACTCTCAGTCCAGCGCCCGCCAGCCGGTCGGGCGTGCAACAAGTGGCCTCCTCAGGTGCTTCCAAGAGTATCCATTATAGGGTAGGGGTCCCCATTAAGGGTACCTCCTTTTCCCCTTTTGTTAAACTTCAAGCAGAAGCCTGGGTTACGACGAAGGGGTCTCTGCGTGAGGGTGAAGAGTCTCCGGCCTGAAGGCCCTCGGGCCATTGACTGAGGGGCTGAGTGCCTTAGCCCAAAAACGGTTACCCTAAACCCTGAACCCCCTTTTTAAGCACGGACTGAACCCTAAACCCCCTAAGCCCTAAACCGTTAACCTCCAGTTATGGTAGGACCACGGGCCGGTTTGTATAAACCTCAAAAAGTTAAAGATCACCCACTCAGCTACTAAGTTGGGGGCTTGAGGCTCTACAGTTTCTGGCGCTGGGCTCCCGGGTTTGGAGCTCTAGAGTCTAGAGCTCCTTTTGGCTTCTCTTGCAGCTTCTAGTTCATGGCCGGGATAATATTAAAAACTGATATTCTCTACTCCTTGTTATTGCTTTTACGTACCCATAAAAAAAGGCTTTCCAGAGTTCTGGGATCAGGGAGGGGTCTTGCAGGCTGCACTTTGCAAGCACTGGCTTGCGGCTGAAGATGGTGGAACCAGAAATGTCACCATGTAATACCGGGGTCTTGTAGTGCCGACTGGACAAGGGTTGTAAGGGGTTTATGTGGTGTTAAAGAGTCTTGAAGGTTTCTATGCAGGTTAATATAGGGCCCTCTATTGCTTATAAAGCTAGAATGAGGCTTGTGGGTACATTACAGCAGAACAATACAAACACAACAACTAGTACAGACTATTGCTGTCAGCGATTTTCACTCAGTCATAGCTTTTCTGACCTGAACTCGAAACTACCCCTCAAACAACCTACACGGAGTTTCAGTTTCTACTGTTATTTTGTCTTTTGTTGCTCTTGTTATTGTTTACAGCAACTGACCTGTACATCTTTACACAAGCGAACGGCTTTGGAGGCCAAGTCACGAATTCATCCAAGGCCGCTTGCCTTTAGGGCTGGTTCTTTCATAGAGTTTTGAACTCACCCTTTCGCATCCGAAAAAACTTGGGCGGCGGTTGCGGGCCTTAATACCTAGAAGAGGGTTCCTTTAAAGGGTTCCTTTTAAAGGGGCCTATAAGGGGTACTATAAGGGATAATAGAGGGTTCCTTTGCGTGTGCGGTTTTGGGCTCGAGGCTTGGGATGCACCGCTGCTTATCTCGAAGATCTACTAGGTTCCTGAGTAGCCCCTTTTATAACAAGGGCACTTTTTTTCTCACAGAAGGGACTGTCCTAGGGCCTGCGCATTTGCACTCTAGCTGCTCTGCATAGAATATGATAACCCTTGTCTCTTTTCTTACTAATTCTTCGGATTTGAACAAGGGACTCAGAAAGTGCAAAAGGGTACTACGCAGGAAAAGCACCCATTGGGGGTTCAGGGTAGACCCTCTCACCCTCCCTTATAGATCCCTGAGTACAGTAACCCTTATGGACCCCTCTAAAGGAACCCTATTCTAACTATTTAGGCCCCTGCATTATCCCTTATAGTACCCCTTATAGGCCCCTTTAAAAGGAACCCTTTAGAGGAACCCTATTCTAACTATTGAGGCCCCTGTACTATCCCTTATAATAACCCTTATAGGCCCTTTAACAGGAACCCTTTAAACGAACCCTATTCTAATTCTAGGATACCCAGTAACCTAAGAATAAAAAGGCCTCTCTTTTTGGTATTGGGTAGCTTTATAAGGAACCTAGGACTACACAAAGGGAATAAGGGTACTACTGGGCATCCTAGAATTACTAAGGCCCCTATAGTGATGTCATGCGGAGGCGCTCAGAAGGTCGCCGAAGTGGCGGCGGCTCAGGCTCCGTCGGCGGATGCCTGGCGTTTTTCAGCGAGGCTTTGGTCTTAAGTGTAGGGGCCTTTGTAATCACTAGGATGCCTATTTTGGTATGGGTGACGGATCAAAAAAATTAAATTTGGATCAACAAATTTAAAGCACAAAAATCAAAAAAATAAAAATTGTATCAAAAAAAATAAATCAGTACTTCTGCCACAGAATCACACAAAAAACAAGGGGTGATCGAGGGTGACGGATCAAAAAAACATTAAATTTGGATCAAAAAAACAAAGCACAAGGATTCAACAATTAAAAGCAGTATTAAAAAGGATAGGCATCAACAAAAAATAAATTTGGATCAAAAAACATTGGATTTGGATCAAAAAAATTAACCTAACCGAAACCGCGACAGGAAGGAAGGAAGAAAGAAAGGAAGGAAGGAGGAAGAAAGGAAGGAAGGAAGGAGGGAAGCACGAAAGGGAGGAGGGAAGGAGCAAAGGAGGGAAGGAGGGAAGAAGGAAGGAAGGAGAGAAGGTAGGAAAGAGAAAAGCAGGAAGGAAGGAAGGAAGGAAGGAAGGAAGGAAGGAAAAAAACAAGGAAGCAGCGAAGAAAGAAAGAAAGAAAAGCAAGAGGGAATGAAAGGAAATGGAAGGAAAGGAAGGTGATCACCCACGCGCCATTTAACTGCAAACTGCCCGCTTTCTTGAGTTGTCGAGCCACATGAAATCGCTTTAGGGAGGCACACCGAGCAAAACAAAGTTCATGTTGGAAGGTTTGCAAATGGGGGGGTCTGCGCCGCCCCCCCAACCCCCCCGTTTTCTTCTCACGAATGAAACGTCTTCAACGACAGGCAAAATGGCGAAAGCCAGACGTGCTCGCTTTGGGGGCGCAAGACCAAGAAAACAAAGTAAAACGAAAACGTGCATCTCTTTGGATAACGGAGATAGGGGGAGCCACATGAAATTGCTTTAGGGGGGTTAAAGCGAGCAAAGCAAAGCTCATGTTGAAAGGTTTGCAACTGGGGGGGGGCTGCGCCCCCCCCAACCCCCCCGCTGTTTTTACTGCAAACCGCCCGCGTTCTTAAGTTGTCGAGCCACATGACATCGCTTTACGGGGGTAAAAGCGAGCAAAGCAAAGCTCATGTTGGAAGGTTTGCAAATGTGGGGGATTGCGCCCCCCAACCTCCCCCGTTCTTTAACTGCAAACTGCCCGCTTTCTTAAGTTGTCGAGCCACATGAAATCGCTCTAGGGGGGTATAAGCGAGCAAAACAAAGTTCATGTTGGAAGGTTTGCAACTGGGGGGAGCTGCGCCCCCCGAACCCCCCCCGTTTTTTAATTGCCAACTGCCCGCTTTCTTCAGCTGTCGATGAAATGAAATAAAGACGTTTTTTCTACATGCACAACAAGGACAAAGCCACACGAAAACACTTCAGGGGATTTAAAATTCGAAAAATATAAGATTTCTCATGAATGAAACGTCTTCACCGACAGGCAAAAGGGCGAAAACCAGATGTATTCGCTTTGGGAAGCCAAGAGCAAGAAACAAGAACACAAAGGTAAAACGACAACGTGAGTCTCTCTGGAAAACAAGGTTTGCAAATTGGGGGGGGCTGCGCCCCCTCCAACCCCCCCGCTTTTTTAACGGCAAACTGCCCGCTTTCTTAAGTTGTCGAGCGACATGAAATCGCTTTAGGGGGGGTAAACCGAACAAAACAAAGTTCATGTTGGAAGGTTTGCAAATGGGGGGTCTGCGCCGCCCCCCCAACCCCCCCGTTTTCTTCTCACGAATGAAACGTCTTCACCGACAGGCAAAATGGCGAAAGCCAGACGTGCTCGCTTTGGAGGGGCACGACCAAGAAAACAAAGTAAAACGAAAGCGTGCATCTCTTTGGATAACGGAGAGAGGGAGAGCCACATGAAATCGCTTTGGGGGGGTAAAAACGAGCAAAGCAAAGCTCATGGTTTGCAAATGGGGGGGGCTGCCCCCCCGAACCCCCCCGCTTTTTTTACTGCAAATTGCCCGCTTTCTTAAGTTGTCCAGCCACATGAAATCGCTTTACGGGAGTAAAAGCGAGCAAAGCAAAGCTCATGTTGGAAGGTTTGCAAATGTGGGGGATTGCGCCACCCCAACCCCTTCGTTTTTTAACTGCAAATTGCCCGCTTTCTTAAGTTGTCGAGCCACATGAAATCGCTTTAGGGGGGTATAAGCGAGCAAAACAAAGTTCATGTTGGAAGGCTTGCAACTGGGGGTGGGCCTGCGCCCCCCCCCAACCACCCCCCCCCGGTTTTTTAACTGCAAACTGCACGCTTTCTTAAGCTGTCGATGAAATGAATTAAAGACGTTTTTTTCTAAACGCACAACAAGGACAAAGCCACATGAAAACGCTTCAGGGGATTTAAAATTCGAAGAATAGAAGGTTTCTCATGAATGAAACGTCTTCACCGACAGGCAAAAGGGCGAAAGCCAGATGTATTCGCTTTGGGAAGCCAAAAGCAAGAAACAAGAAAACAATGGTAAAACGACAACGTGAGTCTCTCTGGAAAACGAAGAAAGGGAGAAGCCACATGAACTGCCCGCTTTCTTAACTTGTCGAGACACATGACATCGCTTCAGGGGGGCAAAAGCGAAGTACTGATTAAGCCTTTTTAATACTGTTTTTAATTGTTGAATCCTTGTGCTTTGTTTTTTTGATCCAAATTTAATTTTTTCTGAGGTCGTAGCCCATGTAACCACCGCCGTTGGCGGAACCCGGCTTTTTCGCCACCTTTCTGCGTCCTGCTCTAGGTCCTAGACACCAAAAAAAATTAGGTGAAGAAACCCATCGAATAAGGTGAAAGACATCAGAACACATTGAAATTTGGAACCTTATCTACTTAGACTAGATGAAAACTTCTTTCTTCTTGCCCTGCCGGTGTCCTGCTCCGGGTCCAGCTTTGGCGGAGAGTGGTATTACGGCATCGTAATGCCAATCCTATACCCACACACATGGCAAGGAAAAGGTGATTTCTGCTTGAATAAGGTGAAAAAGAAAAGAGCGACATCCCCTACACTAAACCATGAGGTGAAAATACATGACTTGATCGGTAATATCAGCCTAAGGGCTTGGATGTTGCAGAGCTCCAGCACCGTCTCGGGATTCTCGTTGTACCAGGGCACGATGACTTGCTGGTCAAGGCGGAAGTCTTTGTGCTCCGAGTCCACGTAGATGGAGAAGACCCGGATGCCCACCTCCAGGTAATCGGCAATTGCCTGGAGTGTGATGTGGTCACCCCAGGTACCGTCCACGAGGACACTGGAGATATAAGTTTCAGAGTCCCTGTCGGCTTCGGTCAGGTAGGCCTTCATCGACTTCTAATTTCAGACCCTAAATTTTAAAGCCCCCACAACCAAACCCGGACTAGCCTCGTAGAACTCCGCCCCGCTCACAAGCTGTTGGTAGGTTTTGACGCGGAGGTCGAGGATGTTCTGGCCTACCTCCACCTTCTGGAAAAGCCCCGCGGAGAGCACGGCACGGTACTGGCAGTTCCCGTCGCCCGCCACCACACTCCGCTCTTGGCCGACCAGAGCCAGCAAGCGATCCACTTCGTGCTTTACACCCTCCTTATTCTAACCTTCTACCCATCCTTATAATAACCTTCTCCCAAGCAGCCTTCTCCTAAGCAGCCCTCCTAAATGACCTTCTCCTAAGCAGCCCTCCGAATAACCTTCTCGCCAATCTATCCTCGTACTGAGTCGGGAGCTCTTCGTTGTCGTCCTGGCTCTGGGCAATGGCCCAGGCCACCAAATCCTCCTCGGTCATGCCCATGACCTGGGAGCTCATCATATTCGCCAGCTTTGTTAAAATTGAAGACTAGTCCACGAATGCAATCCCAGAAGCAACGGCCAAGCTTGGGGAAGCCATACTTGGAGTGAAACGCAGGATGCTGCTTTGCTTTGCTTTGGGCACATCAGCTTTCTGAGGCAAAGAGGAAGGTTCAAATTAGCTAAGAGGAAGGTTCAAAACTGCTTCAGAGGACGGTTTAAACTGTTTGAGAGGAGGGTTTAAAAGCTTCACAGGAAGGTTCAAATTAGATAAAAGGAAGGTTCAAAACTGCTTAAGACGAAGGTTCGTTCAAAAGTTTAAGAGGAAGGTTGAAAACACTATTTCTAAACAGGCCCTGCCCCTGGAAAGGACCTTGGCTTATACAATGATAAAGTGGAAATTGGATGAGGGGCGGGACATTTTCAAGAATTTTCCGCTCGAACCGATAAGCTAGGACTGTAAGCTACTATGGATTTCGCTGTCACTTGCCATTAAAATTGACCCCGCTGAAAATTTTCGAAAAATGTCCCTCCCACGCAAAAAATGGCCAAGTGGATGACCACAGGTTGCTCTGCAACACAGTGTTTTCAAAAAAAATTGGGGTCTCGTAGCCGACATCTGCACCGCAAAAAATATCAAAAAACCAGGCGGATGCAATAAAAAGTGCAAATCGTTCTGCTCGATTGGTGTTTGAAAGCGATCGATGTGAAAAAGTTGTCCTTGTTGGCCCAGACTTTATTGAATATAGTCACCTCCCGTCCTTTGCTTTCTGGCCCCGGGCCGGAAATCGTTTAAATTTAACGGATTTCAGCCTTTTTCAGCCTGCTCCAACCTTTTTTTCAGCCTGCTGCAGCCCTTTTCTGTTTTTTCCAGCTTTTTTCTAGCCTTTTCCAGCTTTTCCAGCCTTTTTTCAGCCTTTTCCAGCCTTTTTTCAGCCTTTTCAGCCTTTTTTCAGTCTATTGCTTAGCTCTGCTGGGCTTGGAGCCAGTTCATGGATTGACTCTGCAAGGACTTGCAGCCAATTTGCAATGAAGAATTGATCCTCGCCTGCAGGGCCCTTGTGGTAGATAATTTAGTGGCAAGTGGTGATAAATGGAACTAAGATTCCAACTATCATGCATATTCAATCTTATTCGAAGAGTAAAGTTCAAACTATCACACAGTTTAAACCTTACTTCAAGAATAAGGCTTAAAATATCATACATTTTCAACCTTACTCTGGTTCATCCTTTCTCGTCGGCATACAATTTGCTTGCTTTCAGGGTAAGGTTCATCCTTACCCATTAGAACATTGATTCAACCTTACTCTAAAAGTAAGATTCCAACTATCATACGTTTGCAACCTTACTCTAAGAGTAAGGTTCAATATTCCTCAGTAGCAGACGATTTGACCCTTCCTCCAACAATAAGGTTCGAACAGAACGAAGAACTATCTTTCGAGCCTTACTCCAGCAATAAGGTTCGAATAGAACGAAAAACCATCTTTCGAATCTTACTCCAGGAACAAGGTTCGAAAAGCGGTCTTTTGAACCTTACTCCAGCAATAAGGTTCGAAAAGCGTTCTTTTGAACCTTCGTCTAAGTTGGTAAGGTCATGAAACTTCTCCAATTCTTCACCTTATTGTTCTTTTTTCCTAGCCGAAGCTTCTTTTTCACCTTATACCCTCTTGTGTTCACCTTATTGTTTTTTTTCACCTCATCCAGGCCTGTATTGCCTGGCAGATGTATCACCTTATCATGGTGGATTTTGCCTGCCTGGGTAAGGCGAAAAGCCGCCCTATCATGCGAAGAAAAACAATCTTTGGACAAGGTGAAAAGCCGCCATGTCATGCTAACAAAAACTTAAATTAATTCAATTAATTAAATTAATTGAATTTGTTAAATTAATTAAATCAATTAACGTGTGTGACCGAAAACTGTGGACCTCTTGGTTGTGTGCTTTAGCTGGTTAGCAAATTGCGTTTTTCAGCAAGAAATCACACAGCAGAAAGTCTTCTATTTTTTCGGGCTCTGACTGTCAATAATTCAATTAATTCAATCAGTCTAAATTAATTCAATCATTTCATGGATTTTAGACTTGGGGGTCCTGGTCCTCAAATTTCATGAGGTTATGAACCTACTCCAAAAGAATAGGATGAAAAAAAGGGCTGTAAATGGCCTTTTTTCACCTCATCAACAAAGACAAGGTTGAAAACCCTCTGCCATTTTCCTCAAATTAATTAAGTTTATTTATTTAATTGAATTCATTATTCTGATTAAATTCATTAAATTAATTAATTTAATTAATTTAATTCAATCAATGAAATTAATTACATTAATTAAATTAGTTAAATTAATGAAATTAATTAAATTAATTAAATCAACTAATTAACCTCTTGGCTGTGTGCTTTACCTGATTAGAAATGGCGTTTTTAAGCAAGAAACCACACAGTAGAAAGTCTTCTAGTTTTTTTCGGCTAAAAGATAAGGTGGAAAATCAGGGCTGCGTATGGCCTTTTTTCACCTCATCAACAAAGATAAGGTTGAAAACCCTCTGCCATTTTCCTAAAATTAATAAAAGTAATTGAATTAATTCAACTAATTTAATTACTTCAATGGATTAACTGAATCCATTAAATCGATTAAATTACATTATTCAAAATAATTGAATTAATCAAATTTTTTAATTGAATTTGTTAAATTAATTATAAGTAAATATGACAGTGACTTTGACAATGACTGTGACCATGACACCTGAGAAGGTGATTTTTACAGCTTCCCAAGGCATTTCTTAACCTTCTTTTGGGAAGAAGGTGATGAAACCGTCCAAATTTTCACCTTCTTGAACTGAGGCCTTTCCACACCACCCCGGAGGTAGCCTTGAGGGCGCGTTACCTATTTATATACCGCGGGTTCCCCAGTAGGCCTATCGCGGTCACTCGCTTTTTGACTCTCCGTCCGCATTCATGCTCCAGAGTTCCTGCCTTAGGATTGCTAAAGTAAAGACCTCACTTTTCGAGGCGGTGCAGCTTGTTGCTTATATTCTGGGCGCTATCTGGGAATGTTTGCATGAAGCACATGAATAAGGTGATGAAGCCAAACAGTAAGGTGAGAAACCCTAATGATAAGGTGAGAAACCCTAATGATAAGGTGAGAAAGCAGACTCTCCAGCCTGCGAATTTAATGCTCCAGACTTGCTGCCCAGCCCTTGGTAAAGCCTATGTGCACACTTCACTTCTCGAGGCGGTGCAGTTTCTTGCTGATGTTCTTGGCGCTGTGCGCGTGGTAGTGCTTGAGGCTGGTTGGCGAACTGTGGCCAACAAAGTGTTGGAATGAGCGCGCCTTCAGGGAAGGATACGTGAAGCACATGAAAAAGGTGATGAAACCGAATAATAAGGTGAGAAAGCAACATGATAAGGTGAGAAAACCTAATGATAAGGTGAGAAAACCTGACTATAGGGAGGAAAGTTCAGATAATAAGGTGATAACAGCACACTAGCAAGGTGATCAATGGAAAGGACCGGTGCCTCATGAGGACGGTTGGTGATCGCCGGGTCTTCCAACAAGTAGGCTTCGGCCGCACCCCTGATCTCGGTTGAGGTCGCCTTGCCCACTTTGTTGATCCCTTTCCTGAAGACATCGTTGTCGATGTTCAGGAAGGGAGCGACCTCGTTTTCGTTCCTCGCTGGTGGGGTCAAGGTTGCCCCTCCAGTGCCCAAGCCTTGAAGCTTCACCAGCTTCGGCCAGTCCACCTGCATGCACACTGCTCGAATTGCTGGGACCAAGACTTCGACAAGTACTTACGACTGATGAAGTAGCCCCTGGACATTCGCTTCGATTTCTCCGTTTTCTTGGGGGCGACCCCGGTTGGAACGAAGTAGTAGGTTTCTTCGTCCTCATCCCAGTGCAGCGTCCGATTCACGACCTGACGGAATTACATAAGTGATCAAGAACTAGGTGGAAAGTCCTTCCAATAAGGTGAAAAAAACTAGAGCATAATGACCTTATCTAACAGGATGAGGTTGAAAACCCCCTAGTCATAGCAAGCGGCGAGCTTGTGGACGGTGCCCAGGCGCTCGGTTGTTTGCATGCAAAACAACCAACCAAGGCTAAAGGCCCTGTACTTTGCAAGGCGCTGGGTCATGTAGTCGAGCTCATTCTGAGGAGCTTCATCTGCCAGGAACCCAATCTTCTTGGCGAGGTTGCGGATCTTCACCTGCCAGGCCTTGTGGGTAGACATCAGCTGCTCAGCTGTCAAAGGCGGCTGGCCCGCCTCTGTGCCAAGCGGTGGGAGGCTCTCTCCCTCAATTGCCCGCTTTTCTGCGGCAGTCTTGCCAAGCTCCCGGATGTATGCTACAATCTTGCGGGTGGTGATCTTGCGTTTCTTCATGGGGCCTTCAACGTATTTCGGCAGGAGAATTTGCGATAGGACAACCATGCTTCTGGTTTGCACTTGGATTGCACCAGGCTTGAATTTGCTTCCCCGGCACGTCTCGTCCTGGATCTGAATAAGGTGTAAAACTCGCCGTGCACTTCCACTTAAACCTCGCAAACTAGACCAAATAAGGTGATTAACCCTTGCTAACGAACCTTATCTTAATGATGTACCCGCTCCTCTTCCAGGTGCTGGTAGTACCTGTCCAGGAGCTGCTTGTCCTTCAGCAGGTTGGCGGGGTTAGAGAAGTCCTCGACCAGTGGACCAGCCCCTGCTTCTTCATGTAGCCCGCGAAGCTGCGGAATTGATACCAATGCATCTTCGCCGTGGACTCGCCGCAGACTCGCCGCCTGGGCGAGCCCTTCGCTTTGGTTTGCAGTTAAATGGCGCGTGGGTGATCACCCTCCTTTCCTTCCATTTCCTTTCATTCCCTCTTGCTTGTCTTTCTTTCTTTCTTCGCTGCTTCCTTCCTTCCTTCCTGCTTTTCTCTTTCCTACCTTCTCTCCTTCCTTCCTTCTTTCCTGCTTCCCTCCTTTGCTCCTTCCCTCCTCCCTTTCGTGCTTCCCTCCTTCCTTCTTTCCTTTCTTCCTCCTTCCTTCCTTCCTTTCTTCCTTCCTTCCTTCCTTCCTGTCGTGGTTTCGGCTAGGTTAATTTTTTTGATCCAAATTTAATTTTTCTTGATCCAAATTCAATTTTTTTGATGCCTATCCCGACATTGGGTAACTTTATAAGGATCCTAGGACTACAAAAAGGGAATAAGGGTAGCACTGGGCATCCTAGATTAGAATAGGGTTCCTTTAGAGGTGCTACTGTAAGGGCTACCATCAGGATTCTAATGTAGGGGCCTTAATAATTGGAATAGGGGTTTGGGGGTTCCTCATTACAACTATCGTATAATATACCTGCAAGCCCTATTCCAATTATTACGGCCCCTACCTGAACTGTGAGGTCGGATAGTAGGTCCCTGCTGGATCTGCGATGCAGAGAAGGTGGTGGTCGAACATTCAAAGCATGCATGCGCAAAAGTTCACTCATGGAAGGCACTTCGCAAGCTGGACCCAGAACTTAACTCTGAACACCGACGGCAACAGAAATTCAGAAAGGAACCAACGTCCCATTCATACAGACTCCCACTGAGGTCACAGCGGGCGCACCGGCAGGCGATTCCGGCACAACCCGACCTCGGCTTTCAGCATTCATGACCCTTGCCAGTCTTTATGAGTAACCATGCCCGGCATGATCATTTGGGACACTAATATAGTTACAGTAGTAGGATCCCTATTGTAAGGACCCCAAAATAAGGCACCCCAAATTTTGAAGTGCCACTTCGAAGGGAAATGCGGGGAACCACGGCTTCGGGGCAAGTACGATCCCAAGGCCAAAAGGCGCATGCAACATTTCACAACATGGGTTTTGAGGCCCATTGTACTCTGCTAAAATGAGTAAGGAACCCCCCTAAAAAAATAGAAAATGGAATTATTAGGCGCCTGTAGTATCTGTCTGCAGCTCACTGGATCCACAAAGCCCAGCATCAACCCTGACATAAAGCCAAGAAGCACAGGTGGCCTCGGTTTCAGCAAGCACAGGCGGGGGCAAGGTTCGATCTTTTGCCATTAGAATACAATCAAGCGGTTCAAGCTTTGCCGGTCAGGAATAGATCCAGCTGCTTCCAGCCGGGGATGAAGGACATTATTGTGAGTGCATGTGAAAGTTGTTCCTGGCACGACGTCAAAGAGAGCCGTTGCTTCGGAACTTTTGGTGTATCTGGTGAAACCGACTAGTTTAGTTTCTATCCAGTTCTATGTTGAAGTTGCGCTTGTTCAAAAATGCTCAGTGGATATAGTGGATACTTCGCTCTTGCTGGGAGCCCGCTTTCGGGAAGTTTGGGACCAACAGCAGGTTCGGAAGGAGCCTAGGACAGGAACATCGGGCGGGCTAATTAGTACAGAAGGTGAATCAATCCTGGTTCGATACTGTCTTCTTGACAAAGGCCTGCGCCCAAGCGGAAGTTGCTTCGCACGGACCTCCTACTTCAAACCGTGATTCAGACTCTCACCTGCATCATTGCCATGAGCCGTGTAAAGAATAACCATAACCGAACCCCTCGGTAAACATGAATAGGACGTAAGAGTAGACACACCTTCCAAAAAGAGAAAGTTCCCCGACTCCTTCACCCACACTTGCTCAAGTCTACCTGAATATTAAACTGAAACCCTAGGAAATCCTAGACCTTTTTCTACTGCGGGACTGATGAATGCCGGCCGACTTCGATTTGTCCCGGACGGGATGTCAACTACCATCAACCACCTACTTGAGGGATGCCTTGAAAGCTATGCGAGTAGTAGGTAAGTGACATCCTGGGACCTTAAGCCAGCAACCCTAAACCGTAAATCCACCCTAGACCTCTGAACCTTGAAAAAACACTGAACCCCAAAACCTCAAACCCCTGCGTAATCATAAATTCTGCGCCCTAAACCCCTAACTTCTATAAACTCCAAACCCTCAATTTCTGAAGCGTTTTGCAGTCAGGCCTCCTGACGTAATCTCAAGCCCTGAACTGCAAAACCCTTGACTCCATAAGCCCCAAGACCTAAACTCTACAAGCTCTAAACCCTAACTTTCTGAAGCCCTGAACTCTAAAAGCACCCTGAACTCTAAAAACCCTTAACTCCGTAAGCCCCCAACCCTAAACCCTAAATCCTAAACCCTTTTTGAACCCGTGCTGAGGCTTACGACGGGAAAGGTTGTGCATAACGCAGCTTGCTTCCATAGTAAACCACACTGCAAACACCATCAGGTTAAAGGCTCAACCCTAAACCCTAAATCCTAAACCCAGAGTATGATGCCAGAAGACCAGGCTCCAGAATGCTTCCCAGGATACTCCGGGGCGACTCACCGGAGCCTACCAGGATCGAGCGTTGGGGCTTAGGGTCGGGGGTTTAGGGGTTCCTAAACCTAGACTTTTAGCAAGCATCATAATTTTAGCTGTGACTCAGGGACTAGTCGACCCCAAAAGTAGAAACTTCTCTACAAGTAAGTGGTCCTAAGAAGCCTCCGAAACGCTCCTAACCCCTACCTTAGCCCCGAGAGAACCTACCTTTTGACATCCGAAACCGCATTACGGCTTTAGGGAAACCACAAGCATGCTCAAACCCGATTTTTTTTGCCCTGGGTTTAGGGCTGTTGGGGTTTAGGGGTCGATAATGTTCACAGCTTTTGTGCTTTCTGGGTCCGGTGCAAGGGTCCTACTGCGGGCTCGGTTCAGGGTTTGTTTGGCAGAGCTCGGGGAGTGCAGGCTTGAAGGTGAAGGTCATCATCATTGTTAGTATCATTCTTCTCAGTTTGCTTATGGGTTAGAATGGGGGCCCTGAATATGTAGGCGTCCAACCGCGGAAGATGAAGTCTACTGCGCACGTCTTAACAGCTGCCAGCCCTTCTTGGGCGGTTCGTGTTGGGAGAAGTGATTGTTTTGCATGGCGGTCCTGTTTGAAGGCTTTGTCACGTTTAGGTATTTCCTGTTCAACAGAGCTCCAGTTTGGACTTTGATTTAGGGTGCCGGTAACTGCACAAGAGGTGGTGGGTGGGTGGGTGGGTGGGTGGGTGGGTGGATGGGTGGGTGGGTGGGCGGGCGGGCGGGTGCACATACCAGCATGATCATGCGTGCATCCGTGCATGCATACGTGGTTGCGCACGCAGATGCATGCCTGACGCACATACAACCGTTATCATCTACACCTCACCCGCATACATATGAACCTGCACAGTGTCGAACACATGTCATGTCGCAAGTCATGAGCGTCCTATTTGCTTCTTGCATTTCATGCGTAATAAGAAACCTAGGGTCTTTGCTAGGGTTCCTTATATGAATCCTACTATTTGGGGGGTATAGGGCCAGGGTTTCTTAATCAGGTTCCTGAATGATTATAGTACCCTGATAGATCCCTTATAGTAACCCTGATAGACCCCTTTAAAGAGACCGAAAAAACAGGCCCAAGGGTTTCTTAATCAGGTTCCTACATTAGAAGAGGCTTCAGGCCTGGTCCTCTCTAGGTTGCAGCAAGGCTGTCGGATCCTCTCGGTTTAGGGTTTAGGCGTTTAGGGTTTAGGGGTTTAAGGTTTAGGGGTTTAAGGGTTAAGGGGTTTAGGGCTTCTTTGGCTTGGAGTGTTTTCCCTACCTGGGGATCCCCAAAGCCCACTGCTCTAATCATTATACCCTCTCATCAAGGATCATAACCTACCATTTGGCAGGGTTTTGGACTCTTCTCTTCAGGATTTAAGCCCCGTTTTAGGGTTTAGGCTTGAGACTTGAGAGTAGAAACAAGCTGTCCAACCACGGAAGGGGGTTTAAGACTGAGGTTTTAGGCGTGGGTGGCGGGGGCGCGGGGGAGGGGAGGGTGCTGGAGTATTTTGAGTTTGGCTGTCGGACCCTTGAGAAATCTCCCCACCTCCGAAACAGATCTAAGACGAAACGTACACCTAAACCCTTTCGGGGTCCGTACTCGTCAGAACAGAGTTTTAGGGCTAATTGTAGTTTCGTGATAAGTTATTTCCGGAACCCCGACGAATAATCTTGGTATTTATTCAGGCTTCTTCATTGAATACATGGTGTTCAGCTCAGGACCTTGAACTCTACGTATGCAGAACCCGGATTTCTAATCTAGGATACCCAGTAACCTAAGAATAATAAGGCCTCTCTTTTTGGTATTGGGTAGCTTTAAAAGGAACCTAGGACTACAAAAAGGGAATAAGGGTACTACTGGGCATCCTAGTAATCATCAGTTACAGGATGCAGGAAAAAGTCCTTGGAAGCAGGCTACCAACAGCGGAAAAGTTCAGGGAACGCCCTTGTGCAACTGGACGTAGAATACATGAAAGGATACATAGAATCCGTAAAATTACCTCAAGACATCCTTCTCTAGACTTTAGGCCTCATTAGGCCGTGGGGGGTTTTAAGATTCTTCGGGTAGGGATTCGTTAATATGACCCCCATTATGGGAACCCTAATCCCTACTAAATCCCCATAGCCTAAAACCCCCTTCGGCCTCCTATGACGACTTGTCGACCCTAAACCCTAAGCCCTCAACCCCAAACCCCTAAACTCCCTAACCCGAACCCCTAACCCGAGGGCCATAGTGATGGGATAAAACTTTAACCCTAAACCCTAAACCCCTACAGTAGAAGCCAGAAAGTTGGAACATCATTATCCTCGTGCCCTTGAGGCAAAGTATAAGGGATCCTAGCACTAATCCTCCTAAAGCCATGTTCCAACTTTCTGGGGTTCACTATGACCCGAGGGTCATAGCTTTAGGGGGCCGAGGATCGACACCAGAGCTGGAGGCCGAAGTTTCAGAGGCCGCTCCGTCCGCCTCCGTGGTTCAAACACGGTGGAAGTTTAGGGTTTAGGGGTTTAGGGCTTAGGGTTTTAGGGTTTAGGGTTAAGGTTTAGGGTTGAAGTTAGGATTTTTGACACTCACACTCGGACAGGCTTGGCAAGGTCGCAGTAGTAGGTTCGACGACTTTACTTTACAAGTTAGGATTTAAGGTTTAGGGTTTCGGGTTTCGAGACTAGGGATTTAGGGATTAGGGGTTTAGAGTTCGGGGTTTGGGGTTTGGGCTCGCAACTTGGACTCTGCGGGGTTTAGGGTTAGTGTTGAGGGGTAGCTGGCGCTTCAGACAGAGCAGATGCATAATCGGGCTCGCGGCACTCAAACGAATTGACTCTCACAGTTTTTCTCCCCGCACACAAACCTGTTGTTGTGATCGCATGCTATGCTTAAGTGTACAGTGGTGCACTGCATGCTATTCACATGACTCAAGGGGCGATTCCGCAGCCCACCCTGAGCCCAGTACAGAGAGCAGTCGTGGACATTTCCAAGAGGCTTTACACATGAGTAACCGCTCTCCTCACTCAAGGAACTTTAGTACACACGGCTTTCTTGTGCATCAACACTCCTCCTCCTTTGGAGTAGAGCTACTCCAAATGCTCTTGCGATGCACATCAGCCCTCTGGCAGAACCTGTCCATGAGTAACTTTGTAATACAACGGGTAATTGCCGTCGCAGTAATAGCAGACCTGCATCTGCTTCAACTTGGCTTTGTTGGCATGCCTCAAACCGTGGCAATCTGGAACGGCATGAAGTCGATCCCCGTGCTCCGACATCACAAAGTTCTTTCTGAGGCGTCGGTACTGCCCATTTTGTGCACTCTCCAAGGCTGCTCGAAGGTCTGGATCATCATTCACTCTTGTAGTAGCCGCCGCACTGGATGTAGCCGGATTGCTCGAAGCACCCGGTGTAGAGCTCCCCGCGGTAGCCGTCCCCAAAGGCTCCTGTGGCATCATTCCAGGAGCTGTCTTTGCGGTCTGGGGCTTTACCTCAAACATTGGGTCGGAAGAACTCGCGCTCGTCATAGATGCGAGCTCCTCTTGCAAAGCCTTCGTGGCTTGGTTCCGAATCCTCAACAGCCGACGTGCCTTCGCAATCGTGGCTTCATCATCACCAAAGAACTTGTGGGCCAACCATTTAAGCGTCTCCCACATTCCAAGCAACGCCACACCTGCAATCAGCAACATCCCGTAGAACTCGAAGCTTCCATCGTAGTCTAGCGGCTTCTTGCTGTAGATCTCCGCCGTCTCTGCTCTCGGGACCCTTGAAACCATCATCAACCACACGAACATCCGCAACAAGTCGTAGTAGTCCGGGCCTTGCAAGGACTTGATTATCACCTCACTTTCGTCCGTCTCAAAGTCCTCTGCCGAACACATTCCCCACAGCTTCCTCAAGTCCTGGAGCCTTGACACCGGAACGGGTTTTGTTCCCATGTCTGCCACTTGCACTTCACCCGGCGTGTGGGCAACCACGATCCGACCTTCGTTGGTCTCCATTCGCAGGTGTCTGGCCTTCACTTTGAGGTGCCTTGTCTTCCACGATCCAGGTGCTGTAGTGGCCAAACCACATGCCGCTGTGTTGTCCACTCGCAACTCCATAGGCTCATCTGCGTCCTCGCTGGACACCTCATTGACCCACGCCTGCAGACCTGCTGCCTGTTGGCTTGCATTCAACAGCTCTACCAGCTCTGCCTCCGCAGCCGACAAAGCTATAGTGGGCTGCTTCGTCATCCGCCAAGCTGCAAAACCACCATAGGTAGCCGTTGTCACGCAGCCAAAGCTACGATCTCCTGGAGGTGCAAAGCTCGCATCTGAGTATGCAACCACTGGTCCCCCCTGTCCATCGTAGCACAACCCCGAAGACACCGTCGAAGCCAAATACCTCATAGTCATCCTGGCCAACTTGATTGCCGAGGCAGGGTCCTTGGTTGCCGCGCTGCAAACATGAGCCGTTGCAAACCCCACATCTGGCCGGGTTCTGGTAACAAGCCACAAAAGCTCACCTGCCATCTTCTGCGCCTGCTTGACCAAATCTTCATCAACTGGCCCGGCTTCTGTTTCATCGTCCTCTCCCGGTGGCATCACTTCCTTGGACGCCGGGATCTGGGATGGTCTCGCTGCCTCTTCGGGGTAGTTTCTGAGGAGCTCCGTGACATAGCTTCCCTGGGAAATGTGAAAGCTGGTGACATCATTCTTTTCTCTTCGCCTCACATCCATTCCCAAGTAGCGCACCGGCTCCTTTCCCAACCACTCCAAAGGCGAGCACTTCCACCCTTCATCACCTTCGGTGCCCTCTGTGATCCACTTGTACATCACCTTGATCGTGTCCACTGGGCCCAACATCATAGCATCGTCCACATACACAATCATGAGGGCCAATGTTTCGGACTCACAGCCCACCTCAACCAAACGCCAAACCGCGGGATCCGTCTCCATCTGCAAGAAAACGCACTGTTTGTCTCCCACCTTGAGCTTAGCTCTGCTGATGCGGCGATCTCGGAAACTTCCCCACAACCTTGGCGCCTCCCTCAGGCCGTAGAGAACACGGTCCACCAGGTAAGCTGTTTGTGCTGGAGCGCAACCTGCATCTACCACCACCTTTGGCATAGTGATCGCATAGCGGACCTTTGACTCTGTCATAGGGGTGAGTGTAAAGGCTGAGTTCACATCCGTAACCGCACCATGCCACCTCTTTTTCGCCCCATACGACAACGAGCACCTCACACTCTCTGCATTGGCTGAGGCCGTATACACCTCCACCTCGTTGTGGATGTAGTTTCCGCAGATCACAATCCTCGAACGCCTCTTGAACAATCCATCACCTTCTCCAGGAGGTTTCGCTATATGCACCGTCTTTGCTGGAACCAAAACCAGCTCCCCTTTCGCCGCCTTCTCCTTCGCCTCTTGGATAGGCATGCCACGCAAAGTCCCAGACCCCTCGAGCGTCTGGACCTCCTTTGCTATGCTTGGGGTCCACTCTTGTAAGTGCCTTTTGACCTCCTGGAGATCTACTGTGTGGACGGTCTCCAAAGGCTTGTCCAGGGACCGCAACATCTCTTCCACATTCTCCGTGGCGTTGTGGCCCACAGCCATTCTCATCAAGTTCACCCTGTTCTGTTGCCTCGTGTTGTCGCTGACCGCCAGGAGCTCGTTCATGTAGTCAATGGCCTCGTCCAACTTGTAGAACATCTGGCGCTCCCTTTGGTTCGCGTACACACCGCGAGACTCCTTGGCACGGCGAACTTGTCTTTCTTCTTCCACCAGGTCCGAAAGCCAGGACACCCTCCTCCTCAAGTGCTCCTCCTCATCGTGACCCAAGGGCATCAACGGAGTAGAGGTCATCACCACGTTCTCTTGGCTTCCCTCCGGACAGTATCTTATCGCCCAGCGAAGCCTCAGCTCAATCCTCCCACCTGGGAGGACTGTAGTGTCCATCCTCTCGCCCGTTAGCTCCGGGAAGCTCTCTAGGCGTCTTCCTGAGCTCGCCGATGAACTTGAAACTGGACCCATTGGCGCTGTCCCTGAGCTCACCTCCATGCCTTCTTCGGTGGGGGGTCTTTGCAACGTCGATTCACTGGAAGATCCCGGTCCCAAAAAACTGGAGCCCGACACCGCCGTGGTTCCCGTTGGTGGCACCACTGCAGATCCCTCTCCTGAGTCCATGGGGATTGGCGGCGCTGGTGGTCTGGGCTTCGCGTGTCCAAACATCCTCAACTGCGGCTCCCGTTCTGGAAGCTGAAAGCCCAACTCCATGAGATCCTCACATTGGTGGTCATACAGTTTCTCCCACTTGCTCACCGTGTAGCCGATGATCACGATTCGGTCACCATCTTCTCCACGGAGTGGGGCATGAAGCCTGTCTGGGCGCACCGTAGTAGGCTTTTCCACGCTGAACAACTGACCCGGGATCTCCTTCTCCTTAAACCACATGGACTTGTACTTCCCATAGAACTCATCTCCAGGCTTCATTTCTTGCCACACATTGCTCCCTTTGGAAACCTTGAGAGGGGAAACCAGGTTCAAAATGTGGACTTCATGTTGAAGGCATCCTTGTGCAACGGCATAGTGGCATTCTTCACAAGCGCCACTGACGTAAAGACCTTCCCTGGGTGGTCTAGCTTCAGCAGGCTCGTTGCCAATTCTGCTTCATGCGAGAACCTCTCTGTCGCAACCGTGATACTGGTGATCCCGCCGTGCTGGTAGGCCCCAAGGTTCACATACGCCGCGTCCTCCCAAGTTTCTCCATCCCTCATCTGCGGCCGCTCTATCTTTGCCTCAGGAGAACTCCAAATGGGGGACGCCAACAGTTTGTCCACCAAGGTCTTGCGGCATTTTGCATCCATTGCCCTCACCTCTGGGTCGGTGAGCTTAGTCTTCATTCTCAATCTACGGGTCGGCTCCACAAGGTCCACAACGAACTCCTCCTCATCCTCGTCTTCGACCTCATCGTCCCGCACTGTCCTCATATGCAAAGTGCGTAGCCACAACCCATCATCAAGCCGCACAACATGTCCCTCACGAACATCATCTGCTGGCCCCATGTACACACCACGCTCCCACTTCGGATCAAACGGCCCTCTGTCCTTCTTGGACTTCACCCACACCACGGCTCCAAACCTGATTTCAGGAGCCTTTTCTCCAAGCTCTCTGGCATTGTGCAGCTTGCACGCGTGCTTCATCGCACACGGCCAAAGCTCCTTATCCAGCTCCGCATCTTGAAGGTGTAGCCTTGCCTTGCTTTTCAGCCACTTCACATGGCTTTCCGCAGTGGCATTCTGGGCGGGCGCTAGACCCTCCGTGTACGTTTGATATATGTCTCTTTCGCGACACCACTTTCTCAGCTGCTTCACCCTGAACTCTCTCGCCCTGTCCGAGTGTATCCGCACCACTGGCAAGCCAAGAGCACGGATGCGGATGTGGAGGTCCTGCACTGCTTCTCCTTGCCTGAATGGCGTTCCAACGGCATCACAAAGCGTAGGGCCTGCATCTCCATCGGCTTCTTGAGGTCCTCAATCTTCCTTCTCCATTCTTCTTCTTGTGAGTCTGCACTAGGATCCTCTGGACCCTGCTCGCCGTCCTCAGGCTGATCCTCTTCCTCAGCAAGGAACTCCTCTGCCTCCTCCTCATCTGGAATAGGGGCATCTTCTGGAACGTCCCTGACCTTGGGGTATAAGTAGGTCGCCGCAAGCGCAAACTTGTACCGACACCCACGAACTTCATCACGACCCACATCTGCAAAAGGTCCCACAATGTCCAGGCTAAGGACATACGCGTCCCTGTGCACAACGCGCCTTGCTGGTCTTCCCGTCCCCGAAGCCGACAAACAAACCGAGCAATCTCTGCGATAGGGCCAATGGCCTCTTTCAATGTGTGCCTTCCATTCAGCAAGCTCTGCCTTTGTCATGGCCTTCTTGATGGCAATGGGACTCCTTGACGCACTCCACTCATGAATGGCATCCGCCAGGGTAATCCTGAAACCGAACGGCCATACCGACTGATCCGGGTCCGCCTCTTCGTTACTCAGGAAGGCTCGCGAATCTCTCAAACCGTTGATACCCAGCTCTAGGTTGGTTAAGCAACACCTAGGCCTCCTATTCTGGTGCCCGAACGCTCCTTGCTCAAACTTCACCTTGTCAAACTGAGTGACCCTGATGAACTCCTTCATGAAGTCCGTTCTCCAAATGGACACACAACTCTGCTTCTGGGGTCCATCTGGCAAGTAGCCCTGTGGGTCCTCCGGAAACTCCAAGCAAAAACCCACCTTGTGCCCCGGTACTTCTTGATCATCCAAGGCTGCCTCTGCGAAGGTCCACAGCCAAACCATCTTGAGGAGCATTGCATTCTCATTTCTTACCTTTGTGGCTTCATCAGCCCCTAGCCCTTCTCGAAGTCCCCATGGTTCATGATTTGACCTCACCGGTCGAGGGCCTTCCCTTCCCTGCTGGTAACGGAAGGGTGCGAAAGTCCCTCCAGGCGGCCCCCCGATGACTTGCTTCACACGGCCTTGCGTGGCTGCCCACAAGAGGACCCCGTAAACCTTGCCATCGTTGAGGTTCCACCCCTTCTGCAAGTCAATCTCCAAGAAACCAGAAAAAATCTCGAAGAGGGTCATTTTTCACTCCTTTTCCCGCAAACAAATGCACTGTCCAATCCTGAGCCTGCCACAGCTGCCTCCTCTTGGACCGGTTGATCGGAAAGCTCTTCATCCACCCCCAAGCCTCCTCCGACGTCTTTGGCATTTCAACCATCACCTTCAGCTGGTCTTCCATCGGTACATGGTGCATGAATGGGGCTGCCAAGACCGCTCTCACACCGGCCTCCTTGTCCCCTGTCGCCACATACTCCTTGATGGCATCCTTCCAGCTCCACTGGGTGTGCTCTCTCGCTGCCATGATAGCCGACCTCAATGTAGCCAGCGATCCCATGGCCTCTGACAACTTCGCTTCCTCCAGCTCCGCGATGAGGCGCAGGGCATCACACTGGGCGATCTCTGGGCAATTGGACCGCGTGTACACCTTGATTTCCTTCTTGTCCGGGTGTCTTAGCCGACATCCCTTGCGATCCCACGCGAACTCATAGCCCAGTGCCTGAACCAAAGTGCCCAGCGGCACTATGGGCTGTGTCTGTGTGTCCCCCAAGATCGTGCCGCTCTTGGTCTGGTCCATCTGCACCTTCTGCTCTCCGGCTAGCGTCACGCTCACACTGGTCTTCTCTCCCTTGTCCTGAGGGGTACGCGGCCTGAGAGCGTGCGTGGCCCCTGAGTCCAAGAGTCCCATCCGGCACATACTCACCATGTCCTCTTCTGCCTTCATCAGCTCCCTCAGCGCCGGCGATGCCCTCACATCGTCCACTTTGGTGTTCTCAACCCGCAGCACCTTGACATTTGGGGCGCTCTTCTGCTCCATGAACGCCTTCAAGAGTTGCTCGACAGGTACCCCTTGAACTGGAGCATCCACTGGCACGCCGGGGGCTCGCCTTGCGTAGTAGGAGTCGAAGAAGCCACATCTCCAGCCCCTTCACTGGGCCTCGAACCTTTTGGTGGACTTCCACCCGGCCTTCTTCCACCCGTTCCCCCCGTAGAAGACTGTGGCGAATCCCCAGCTCCCAGCGCTTTCTGCTGAACCTCCTTCTTCGTCCTTCTTCGTCGGGCAAGCTGTAGAAAGGTGCCCCTTTCCACCGCACTCGTAGCATCGATCCCTCCTCTCGGCCTTGCTGAGGTCCTTCATCGAATGCTCATACTTGCATCCCTTGCCTCGGCGACAACCTTCGTCAGTCAGGTAGAAACGGCAAGGCCTCTGAGCACCCTTCCCTCCTGATGACGGCAAGGTTGGGGGTAACGCTGGTGTTGTAGCATCGGCCGCCCTCAGCCTCGGTGGCTGAGCTGCTGTATCATCTTTTCCCTTTGACTTCCTGTAGCCCAGCTGCTCGAACTCGGCCAGATACGCTCGGTGGATTGCCATCACCCCGTCCTCCGTTGGCGCGAAGTCCACCTTCAAATGATAGCGCAACAGGTTCATTCTGAAGGTGATATCCGTATGGTCCTGCAGGGGCTTCTTGACCATCATCTCAAGTGACCTTAACATGATCGAAGGATCCGGGGTGTTCAACTTGAGATCCTTCGCCCTTTGATAATGCCGAGCCCACTGCCTCAGTCCCGACACTGCCTCCTGCACCGTCGTTGCCGAATCTGGGGTCTCCACCTTCCTCAACAACTGAGACTTCTCGGTGGTGCTGCCCGGACGGTAGACCACCATAAGCCTTGCCAGGATCTCCAGTGTAGATCGCGACCTCGCCGCCACCAGATCCTTTCGCACCTCTTCTGGTGCCGCTGCCAGTAACACACTGGCACCTCTCCTTTCCACTCGAGCCCACTTCGCTTCGCCTAGCTCCTTGCTGGCCACAGGCTTCAGTGCAAGCCTCCCAAACTGGTCTGCCTGCTGGTAGTCCTGGTAGTAGGCCGTGGCATCACTCACCACGAGTTGCCACCATTCCGACGACGACGTACTCAAGTCGCCCATCACGTTTTCAACGCAGTGGAGCCAATCACCAAAGTCCACCGCACTCGATTCCGTCAACTCTGAAAGCTTTGGCACCTCAACCGTTGACTTGCTCACTTCTTCCGGTTTGGTACCAGCTCCCTTGATAACCTTTTCCAGGCCCTCAAGGAGCCTCGCCATTGGGTCAGTCTGTTGTACCCCCACAGTCGGGGCCTCACTGACACCAGCTGTTGGGTCCACACCCCCAAAGGTAGGGACACTAGACGTTGGCATTCTTGGGATCGTAGTCAAAGTAGCTCCTGCATGTAAGCTTGGTGCCGTTGTGGTAGAAGGTCCTGCTTGAAAGCTTGGCGCCGCTGCGGTAGAAGTTCCTGCTTGAAAGCTTGGTGCCGCAGACATAGAAGCTCTTGCTTGAAAGCTTGGTGCCGCTGCGGTAGAAGTTCCTGCTTGAAAGCTTGGTGCCGCAGACATAGAAGCTCTTGCTTGAAAGCTTGGTGCCTCCGCCGTAGAAGGTCTTGCTTGAAAGCTTGGTGCCTCCGCCATAGAAGATCCTGCGAGCCCATTGGAACCAGCCTCCATCCTTCCATGTGTTGGATGGTCTTGTAAGTACAACCCAAACTGCTGAGGCGGACCTTTTGGATGCACCATAGCCTTCGCTTCCGCAGCCCTGACCCCACGCTGCTCGGCTGCACCCTCACGCAAGCGGGCCACCTCCTGAGCGAGCTCCTCATTTTCTCGCCTCGACACCTCTAGCTCTCGCACCACACCACGCAGCTGGCGCTTGACCTCCTCCTGAACAGCCTCGTAAGTGCTCCCCCCTGAACTGCCTTCTTGTTGAACACGCTGAGGTCGTCCGTACAGCAAAGGAGCTCTCCTTTCCATAACCCTCAGCTGTTCTCTTTGTTGGGCATTCAATAGGGGAGGCTGACCTCCGCGACCGTGGTCTGAATCCGGCGATCCCAAGATCCTTCTCGCCGTCGGCGTAGCCGGAGAGCCCATGGGCGACGCAGCCCATCCAGCAGGAAAAGATTGTCTAGCACCCATATCTTGAAAAAGGCGCCCAACCTCTGGATCCACACCGGTACCGATCTCCTCTGGGCACTCGTCATAGACCATGCCTGAGCCGCATTCTGAGCCTCATACCCAGTCTGCCCCATGCTCATCATACCTTGGGCAGCTTCCACATACGCCGCCTCATGAACTGCTGGCTGTGACCACCCCATCCCCGGCGGCGAGCCACTTGCCGAGACCGCCACAGACATCGTCCGGACAGCCACACTGCCGTCCACTGCCTGAAGCTCTGGACCACTTGCTCCTGCCTCCATCAGCACCGAACTTGGCCCCTCTGTTGCGACAGCTGCGCCTTCAGCGACATTTGGGCTCATACCCTGTTGAGGGGTAGCTGGCGCTTCAGACAGAGCAGATGCATAATCGGGCTCCGTTGCAGTATCCATGGCGGCACTCAAACGAATTGACTCTCACAGTTTTTTACCCCGCACACAAACCTGTTGTTGTGATCGCATGCTATGCTTAAGTGTACAGTGGTGCACTGCATGCTATTCACATGACTCAAGGGGCGATTCCGCAGCCCACCCTATCCCCCATATCTCCTAGAAGGGGGGGGGGGTCGAAAGAGCAATCCGCATTTCTGGACGTCCCCCCAACATGTTCCGTGCAGGAATGCAACAACGGCGCAAAATGCAGTGGATACTTGTCTTCCTGACTGTCGCAGGCTGCGCATGATTCATCCCCGGATCTCCGAAACGGGGTGCTGAAACCGGGTGGTGGCCTGAATGGCTCCCTAACCTCGATGGTGCCCCGAACCTGTGGTTTTATCCCGCCCCGGATAAAGCCTCAGGTTCGGGCGAGCTTAGGGAGCCCATTCAGGCGCCACGGTTTCAGCACGCCAAACCGGGATAAAACCTCAGATTCGGGGCACCAGCGAGTTTAGGGAGCCCCTTCAAGGCCACCACCCGGTTTCAGCACTCCAAACCAGGGCCGGATAAAGCCTCAGGTTCGGGGCACCAGCGAGCTTAGGGAGCCCATTCAGGCCACGGTTTCAGCACGCCAAACCGGGGCGGGATAAAACTTCAGATTCGGGGCACCAGCGAGTTTAGGGAGCCCCTTCAGGCCACCACCCGGTTTCAGCACTCCAAACCAGGGCCGGATAAAGCCTCAGGTTCGGGGCACCAGCGAGCTTAGGGAGCCCATTCAGGCCACGGTTTCAGCACGCCAAACCGGGGCGGGATAAAACCTCAGATTCGGGGCACCAGCGAGTTTAGGGAGCCCCTTCAGGCCACCACCCGGTTTCAGCACTCCAAACCAGGGCCGGATAAAGCCTCAGGTTCGGGGCACCAGCTCAGCACGCCAAACCGGGGCTGGATAAAACCTCAGATTCGGGGCACCAGCGAGTTTAGGGAGCCCCTTCAGGCCACCACCCGGTTTCAGCACTCCAAACCAGGGCCGGATAAAGCCTCAGGTTCGGGGCACCAGCGAGCTTAGGGAGCCCATTCAGGCCACGGTTTCAGCACGCCAAACCGGGGCGGGATAAAACCTCAGATTCGGGGCACCAGCGAGTTTAGGGAGCCCCTTCAGGCCACCACCCGGTTTCAGCACTCCAAACCAGGGCCGGATAAAGCCTCAGGTTCGGGGCACCAGCGAGCTTAGGGAGCCCATTCAGGCCACGGTTTCAGCACGCCAAACCGGGGCGGGATAAAACCTCAGATTCGGGGCACCAGCGAGTTTAGGGAGCCCCTTCAGGCCACCACCCGGTTTCAGCACTCCAAACCGGGGCCGGATAAAGCCTCAGGTTCGGGGCACCAGCGAGCTTAGGGAGCCCATTCAGGCCACGGTTTCAGCACGCCAAACCGGGGCGGGATAAAACCTCAGATTCGGGCACCAGCGAGTTTAGGGAGCCCCTTCAGGCCACCACCCGGTTTCAGCACTCCAAACCAGGGCCGGATAAAGCCTCAGGTTCGGGGCACCAGCGAGCTTAGGGAGCCCATTCAGGCCACGGTTTCAGCACGCCAAACCGGGGCGGGATAAAACCTCAGATTCGGGGCACCAGCGAGTTTAGGGAGCCCCTTCAGGCCACCACCCGGTTTCAGCACTCCAAACCAGGGCCGGATAAAGCCCGGTTTCAAACCGGGGCTGGATAAAACCTCAGATTCGGGGCACCAGCGAGTTTAGGGAGCCCCTTCAGGCCACCACCCGGTTTCAGCACTCCAAACCGGGGCCGATAAAGCCTCAGGTTCGGGGCACCAGCGAGCTTAGGGAGGCCCATTCAGGCCACGGTTTCAGCACGCCAAACCGGGGCGGGATAAAACCTCAGATTCGGGGCACCAGCGAGTTTAGGGAGCCCCTTCAGGCCACCACCCGGTTTCAGCACTCCAAACCAGGGCCGGATAAAGCCTCAGGTTCGGGGCACCAGCGAGCTTTAGGGAGCCCATTCAGGCCACGGTTTCAGCACGCCAAACCGGGGCGGGATAAAACCTCAGATTCGGGGCACCAGCGAGTTTAGGGAGCCCCTTCAGGCCACCGACCGGTTTCAGCACTCCAAACCGGGGCCGGATAAAACCTACCAGCGAGTTTCGGGAGCCTGTTCAGGGCACCACCGGGTTTCAGCACCCCAAACCGGCCCCGGTTTGGGGTGTTGAAACCGGGTGGTGACCCTGTCCGGAGCCTGCGGTTTGCTATAAGAGAACGTCCATACGCCGGTGTGAGTCCCCCGATGTTGGGCACATCGAAGAGCTGTTCGACTGGGTTTGCGGCTGCCGGGCTTAGGACTTGTGGGTTCGGGGTTTCTGGTTCTGCGGTTTCTGGGTTCGGGGTTTCTGGGTTTGGGGTTGTTGGGTTTGGGGTTCTTGGCTCAGGGTTTCTGGATTTGGGGATTCTGGCTTCAGGGTTTCCGGGTTCGGTGTTGCTGGGTTTAGGACTTCTGGGTTTAGGGTTCTTGGCTTCACGGTTTCTGGTCTTGGGCTTTCTGGGCTTGGGTTCTGGCTTCAGGGTTTGTGGGTTTGCGGTTGTCGGGCTTGGGGTTCGGGGTTTTTGGATTCAGGGTTTCTGGGTTTGGGGTCTCTGGTTTTGGGGTTTCTGGGTTCGGGGTTTCTGGGTTTTGGGGTTGTTGGGTTTGGGGTTCTTGGCTCCAGGGTTTCTGGATTTGGGGATTCTGGGTTTGGGGTTTCTGGCTTCAGGGTTTCCGGGCTCGGTGTTGCTGGGTTTAGGATTTCTGGATTGAGGGTTCTTGGCTTCACGGTTTCTGGTTTGGGGTTTTCTGGGCTTGGGTTCTGGCTTCAGGGTTTCTGGGTTTGGGGTTGCCTGGTTTAGGATTTGGGGGTTTCGTCGCTCACTCTCGCACGCAGCAGGCAAGGCTCCACATAGGGGTTCTCCGTTTCCGGGATTCGGCGCTGGGTTGTTTCTTGTCCCCCTCAGCATTTCATAATTCTTGTAGGGTGTCTGCAATGGGTAACCCCGGAAAGGTCTAAAATGGGTCCGCCCCCATTCCAGACTCCTCATACGTCGACTGCCAGCCGCCACCCATTCAAGACCCTTCCAAACTGCGGGGATGTCAATGGAGTGCGCGACCTGTGCAGATGCCATCTAGCTTGGCCTTGTGTTGTGTGTGTGTACCGCGGAGCCGTGGTCTTCTGCAAGAACGGCAGCCGAAGTTTGAGGACAACCAAACCAACGGCTGTGCCGCTCACGGGGAACCTGTGCAAAGCTGTGCGCGTTCAGCAGCTCACCCACTATGGGGCGCACAGTCGTGGCAAGCTTTTCCAAACAGAGCCAAACACGTCCGAAGCAGCGCATTGCATTTACAAGCCCCCCTCCCCCCCTTCCGAATGCACTTCCAACCCCCCCCCACCGACCAAGGGCCAGCAAGATGGGGGATCCCACCCTGAGCCCAGTACAGAGAGCAGTCGTGGACATTTCCAAGAGGCTTTACACATGAGTAACCGCTCTCCTCACTCAAGGAACTTTAGTACACACGGCTTTCTTGTGCATCAACAGTTAAGGTGTAGGCTTCAGAATCGAGAGTTTTATTGTTTGGCTTGCAGGTTGACTTCTGGGTGTGCGGGATGACATTTTACTCATGAGTTAAGGCTAAACCTTGATCTCAAGTAACTTAATTTTGTATTTACTTACCTGAACTTGCATGGGAAAATTAAAAAAAGGAACCCGCAAAGGAAGGCTTTCTAGGGTTCGATGTAAGCCCAACGGCCAAGGGCCTGCCAGGACTTCTCCGGCAAGAAGTGGCGCAATGAGTGCCTGAGATGCTGAGTTCGTAAGCCCCCCGAAGGTGCAAACTTTCTAATATTATCCCAAAACGTGTAAAGTGTATCCGCTCAGCTACTAAGGTCCCCTTTTTTGCCACTGGGCTTGGGGCTAGCCAGGCCCCCTAAACCCTAAACGCCCTAAACCGCTGCTAAGGTGCGGGTCCTGGATGGAGGTCTTGGCATTGTGCGTGTGGACCTGGCAGCGGTCGCAGGGCTGACTCGTCACCCCAGCTACCCAGACCTTCCAAAATCCCTTAATCAAGGAATATATCTTAAACTATATAGTAGGGTCCCTAATAAGAATTCAGGTATATTCCTTAATTCAGGGATTTTGGAAGGTCTGGGTACCTACCGTTTGCAGGGACTGCGGCTAGAGCTTCGACGAAAATTTAAAGAGGTCTCTAACTAATTGAGGCGTAATTGGCTCAACCACTGCGGGCTTTGCTGGTGGGGCTTTGGTGCTGTTGCAAGGTGCATGGTACATAATGTGGCTCTGGGAAGGCGACAAGCATGCTCAGTGCAGAGCTGCTGGCGCACAGGTCCACGTATCCTATCAACGTGTGCATACCAGCTCTTATGTGAGGCAGAATGAAAGAGCAAAAACAATCACACACGCACACATGCATTCCTTCATGCAAAATACGACACAGACCGAAATCTCGCTTCACATGTGCTCCATATATGGGTCTGCGCATGTACGTGTGTATGTATGTATTTGTGTCCCCACAAATATGTGTGTATATACATATATATATACATATATATATATATGTATGTATGTATGTATGTATGTATGTATGTATGTGTATATATATATATGTATATATATATATATGTATATATATATATATATGTATATATATATATATATATATATATACACATGATGTGTATAATGGGACATCCACGAACATAAACGGCCTTGCCAGAGCCTGGGTCGAAGAAGCGGAGACCCCAAGAGGCCCAGTCCTTGTGGCTCTAAGACTCTTTATGTGTGGTTGTCGAAATTAGGGTCCCTTTTGGGGTACCCTACATATTAGGTGCCGTATTATAATTATTAGGGGCGCAAAAAGGGACCCTAGTTTCGCCAACCACCCATAAAAGCGGTTTAGGGTTTAGGGCTTCTGGGCCCGAACCTAAACCCCAATTCTCAAAAGGGGTCCTCCGAAGCCTGAATCCTAGGACTCTGCGCTGTAAACCCAACCTGGACCCTATAAAACCTTCCTCTTCAGGGCTCTCATTATGATTCCCATATCCAAATCCTGAAAAAGTTTGTTATTCAGGGTCCAGGAAGACCCTAAAACCCCAAATCCTTCGGCCCTTTGAGTGATGTGGTTTGGGGCCTTGGCCAAGCGGTCTGGCGCTTTCGACTTTCTAGAACCGAGGATGTGATTCCGGACTGCTTTCAGCTTGGGTTGTCTAGCTACCCAAAGGCTCCATAGTAGTTCCTTTTTGGGATTACCTTATAGGATTCTATATATGAACCCCCAAAAGGAACTCCTTTGGAGCCTTAGGGTAAGCACTTCGAACCACGCAAAAAAAACTTGTTCAGAACCCAAGAAGCAAACTTAGGAGCATGCTGTGTGGCAAATGGCTTCATGTCGTGCCCGTTGCCCTGCAACTCGCCAGACTGTTCGAAAGCCCAAGCGCAAACTCAGCTGAGCAGCAGTGAGCTTTACTAGGCATAGGCTTTCCCTATGCAATGTCGGTGTTGGGAGACCCGTGTCGAAGTTGCCGCCAACTCTCCTACAGCTTGACATCCCACACCAACACCATAGCTACCTTGTCACTTGGCTGCACGCCGAAGCGACTCCGCTGACGCGGTGCACATGCAGCTCCGTCGCAGCTAAAGCTGCCGGCGCAGCAGCAGGCAGTGGCGACATGGCCTTTGTAACAGGAGCTGTGACTTGTTTAGCCAACACCAGTCTTTAAAAATCTGCATTTCCTCGACACCTATGACAACTATACTGCGCGAGAACAGTGCAGCGAAGATGCTGCGAGCATGTTAGGTGCACCGGGTCCACGTGTTTCACAAAATCATCCTATGGCTGGAACCAGCAAAGCAAACTTTTTCAAGCTACTTCATCACAGAACGCAATAAATCTCACATTACACTAGGAAAAAGATTGCCTGGAAATGCATATGGCCCTATATCCACCCTAGGCCCTAGTTCCTAAACCCAATGCTTGCATACCAAGCCTGAAAATGCATATTTACGCCTTTTCCTATATGGTGCGACATAGTTTCGGAAAGAAACCTTTCCAACCTTTTCAGGCATATTTCTGAACAAGTCTGTGCTGTATTGCTGGGAAAATGGTTCCATATTTCTGAGCCATGGTGTCGAGAAAGATCTCGCAGGCCTTCCTAAAAATGCAAAGCTCGTACTATATTCTACTTCACTTTGATATGCGGTATTATGTCATACTGTGTTGTAACATACTGTACTGTACTAATAATATTGTACTGTATTATCAGGTGTTATGCTAGGTTAGACTACAATCGTGTAATGAGTGTTCCTTATCATCTCATACTATATTATATGATACTCTAGAACAAAGAGTACAGTAGCACCTCAGCGGCTTAGGCAGGTGAAAACGGAACCTCCCCCCACATTATTAAGGCCCCTATACTATAGTGCCCTCATAGCATCTTAGAGTAACCCTTGTAGGACCATGTCTAGAGTCTAGGGAACCCTTCAGGCCCCTATATCATAGAACCCTACTATAGATCCCTTATAGACCCTTTAAAATTCGCCTCGGCCCCGGCCGAAGCGGTCAGAGGTTCCTATTCGGATTCCCTCTATTCCCCACCTCTCAATCCCTTCCCCCAAAATCCGCGCCACGCCACCCCCCCCCCCTTAAATGGAAACGTGTCGATCACCCCGCCCCCCCCTCCGACCCCCCTGCCCCCCTCCAGGCAAAGTTCGGAAATAGCGTTGCTTTGGGCAGCACAGCACGCGGCTCCACGACCTAACCTTCTCATAGCATCGGAGATTCAAGCATCGCTATCGCCCTAGGGGCTATGTCGAATATCAGGCACAGAACGCGGAGATGCTACAATGGTCACATCAACCTCTTGCTGGCTTCTTGAGACAAGCCCTCTGCCTTACGCTGCTCTGCCCTGCTTTGCCCTGCCCTACAATTAATACAAGTGCGATTCCAACTGTTGTTATTTTCGTACAAGAGCTTCCTGCTGCGCCGGATGGTAGCCAGTCGCCGCAGGCGCGAAAAGCCGGGCCGAGGCGGACGACGCGAAGCGTTTCAAATTAAAAGCCCTTTTTAAAGGAACTATCATAGAGCCCTACTATAGAATCCCATATAGACCATTTTAAAAACCCTTTTAAAGGAGCTCAGGTGACCGTGTTGAAGACATCGATCCTCTTGAAGACGAGCCCAGGCTCCTCCTCCACGCATTTCGCCTTGGCACTTCCAGAGATGTCCAAGAAGTAACCTACTTGTCGGGTATCATGGGGAACTAAAGGCTAACCTTTTTGGTTATGTAGGGATAATGTAGGGGCTATACTACCGAAACAAGGTTAAAGGTTACCTACTCTACTACTAGGGTCGAGGTGTGTCGTGCTTGAGCTACTCAGCTGCCCTTAGAACCTTCATTCCAGTGTGGATCAGGTTCGCGTCTGCGTTGCTTCATCATAGCCATTACGATCAGATGCAGACACATCGACATATCCTGATCCCATGAAGTGACAGAGTCATGAAATCGGTGTTGTACTCCGTTTACCCTGGTACATTGCCGCCGTGGCCAGCAACCCTCGAAAGGAGCCATTCACAGATGTAATGCTCATTCGGAAGCTTAGCGACTGAAACAAAAACATCGTAACCCGGGTTCACACAGAGTCAGATTCTAGCAGAAGGATCACATCGTATGGGATAGGGTGCCATGCGATAGTATAGTGCCGCGAATGTTGCCCAGCCCAGACTGGACAATACTAGAGCAAAGTTGTGGGACTGCGACGAAGCAAGGCAGGGCACGGTGTAAACAAATAAAACCATTCCACCCCCTGAATGGCCGCAAACCCCACATCCTGGATCACGAGACTAGGGCACCAAACCAAGACTCTAAACCCACTGAGTTTTTCCGTACTGCAGAATCTGAGTTCCGAGGCCTGTGAATTCAAAAACTGAGCGTTTCTGGCTTGGCGGACCTACATCTATCCGCTATGAGGCGACCTATATGGAGCTATTACGTACAACAAGCCCTTTCCGCGACCTTGTATAAGCCCCTTTTTGAACCCAGGTTCCAAATCTCAAACGCTTTGTAACGAAAGGTCAAGCGAGTTGCCACATGAAGGATCACAGCGCCACCCAAGGAGTGGCCACATCCGAAGGCATCCTCGCGGATGGCTTCTAGTCGAGGGGTTGAGGATTGGGCCAATGTTGGTTTTGTACCGTGGTCGTACTAGTATATGAGGGTACTATATGAGGTTACTACAGAGGCGTAGAGGCGTTTGAAGGTCCTGTGGTGTACGCCGAAAGCTGAGCAACTGCCTAGTGACTGCACGGCCTGCGACAGTCGAACCCCCAACGCGCAGCTGCAAAGCAGCTGAAAGCCGGCCTCTGTACTTAAAGGATCATGGGACTTAGGAAGTGGGGTTATAAATAAGGTAACAATACTTATAATTACTTATAATCCCAATTAAGGTACTTATAACCCTACTTACTAAGTCCCATGATCCTCCAAGTAAGCCAAGTGACATAATGAGGAAATCGCCGCCGGAGGGTGCGATACCTTGCGTAACATCAGCCATATCAAAGCAACCTTCCTTAATGGTCGATGTACCTATGGCATCAGAAGACACCCAACACACTACGGAGCCGTAAACCCTGAACACCGAGTCTCACGGAAGCTTCCTTCACGGACTGTGGCATGTTTGGACGAGGAGGCAACATGCTTATAAAAGGTATACAGTGAGGATCCTATAAAGATAACCCAAACAAGGAAGGAACTGTAATGGAGACATGACAATCGAAAACCTTCTCTCTCAGCATACAAGATGTGTCGTGGCTACAAACCACATAGTCATAAGTGAAGAGCCATAGTTCATTCAGCTGAAAGCTCGCTCCCATGTACTATACTGAACTTAGATCCCCAGCAAAAGTTATAACTTTAGCTGTTTCTAAGGATTATAGGAACCAAAGATTAACAACTATTTCAAAGCACCCCTGAGTGTAGCCTATGTCTGATGACATGGACTGGTAGGACTAGGAACGAAAATACCTGTCAAAAGTGATAAACTGTGCACTCCAAAAGACATGCTGCCGCTGCCATTCTGCGGGGCAAGAAAGCTTTCGCGTCTAGGAGGGTCGGAACTTCTTGAAACCATTGCTCCAACCAAGGCAAGCTCAACACCCTACAAGTCCACGAAGGTCACAGCTAAAAAGCCATAAACCCTAAACCCTGGCATCATCCCAAACTCCGGTGCCCTTGACTTGAACCCCTCAGTACGAAAGCCAGAAACTCCAAACATACAGCCCTCATGACAAAATGCTTCAATCGTTTCGGTATCAACCCGAAAATGTCTTTTCTGTTCGCGCTTCCCAAGTTCGAGGTAGGGTGGCAAAACCCAGCTAAGCCTGCTAATCGTTAGGTTTCCCAGGGCGGCCTCTCACAGCCCAGAAGCGTTTACATCCTACAACCCCAGAATCGTTTACATTCTACACCGCCCTGAAACGTACTAAGGCCTACTCCGAAACCTTAGGAAAAGAGCCCAGGCGAGCCAACACAGAAGAAACACAACAAGAACAAACCCGGGCAAGGACACACCCTACGCCAACAATTAACAAGAGAAACAAGCAACAAGATATCACAACAGCAAACAACAAGCAAACATAAAGCGCACACACTCAAACCCTATACCTACTATGCCCTGAACCGTTATATAACCGGAAATGAAAACGCTAAACCCTAACATTTAACTAGACTAAACACATGAAACCTCCAACTGCAACACCAAACCCTACCCCATAGATCCCTTAAAGGAACCACTATAGTACCTTTTATAGGTATCCTAAACCCTAACCCTGCTAAACCCCAACTCTAACCAAGACGAGGATGCTCGCTCAGAGCTGCCTCCGCTCGAGCTGGGCCTTCACCGAAGCCAAAAGCACATTTGAGGTTTAAGCTCCCCAGAGAGCCGAATACCCCTTAATTAAGGAATATGGCTTAAGTGAGAAGGGCTGCATATTATGAATTAAGCTATATTCCTTATTAAGGGGTATTGGGCTCTCTGGGTCTCGCAACTCGGGCACTCCAGACGAGGTCCATGCGTTCGTGTCGGCTTCAGAATGCTTCAGAAGTCAGCACTTAGGTTTAGGGTTTAGGGATCCTAGCAAACAGGACGGGGAGGTTTGGGTTTAGGGGTTTGGGGTTTTGGGACTAGGGCGTCTGGGCCTTTTTTTGTCGGAGTGTGGGTTTAGGGGCTTAGGGGGTAAGGCCTTTTACTCCAAGCGCTTAACCTAAACCCTAGACCCCTGAACTCTGATCCTAAACACTAACCCCTGAACTAAGTCTAAACTCTAAGAGACCCCCGGAACCTATTCAAACGCATTCGAAACCGGAGGCAAGCGCTCTAACAATCATGTACTGCGCTTGGGAAGGTGGAGTCTCCAAACCCGCAGGACTTTGGGGTTGCTTGGAGGCCGTTTTGACTTAGTAAGTCTACTTAGTATCCCCTAGAAACCCCATTATAATCCCCATAGCCCAGCTTACTAACCCTAGTTACTAAGTCAAAAGGGCCTCCAAGTGAGGCTTCAGGGGCTTGCTTTTGTTTTGGTTTGGGCCGTGGGGCTAGTGAGGAGGGCTTTGGGGATCAGGAAAGAAAAAACTGCGACGGGTCTGTTTGAGGAAGACCCTAGAGCTTAAACAGCGGAAAGCAAAGTTTCAGGTTTGGGGATTATGGGATGTAGGGTTCGGGCTAGGTTTGCAGATCACTGTCAGATGCCAAGCTGCCGTATCCCAGGATGACGTGCATGTTGCTGCGAACATCCTCACTGACGCATTGTGACAGGCATTTTTTTTATGAAGGAAACATTCTTGAAATGGCTTTCTCGCTACTCCCTTGACGTGTTACCTGATGCCCGCGTTTGCTAAGTCATACCTCCGTCGACTGCAATGGCTTTCACAAGGGCGCACGTTTAGAAATAGCGGCGACTGCTGTTGCTGTTATCCAAGCCAGCACTAGGAACCACGCGGAAGAACCGGGTGCTGCACCTGGAGTTAGGTGATGGCATCTACCCCTTCACGGGTACATCAAAGGACGCGGACGTTCATTCTAACAGCACGGGAGCTGCTCGCACATATTACATCTACACACACATATACATATACATATATATATATATACGTATATATGTATGTGTATACATAGTTATGTATATATATATATATATACACATTTGTGTTGCAGGGTTCCTTTAACGTACCTTTTTGGAGCCGGTACTTCCGTAAACCAGATCTTCAGGACGAATCGCTGGGCGGCGATAAAGAAAAACAAGAACGCTTCAAGCTGTTACATCCTCCTGGACTAAGGTCAAAGGATTGAGACATGAGGGTGTATATGTGTATGTATATATATATATATATATCGATTTTTGCTTTTTGATGGATAAATCACTGTTTGTGCAAATTGCGGCTTCGGGGATTTGGGGCTGCAAGCCAGGTGCGTCAGGTGTTGTCAGCGGGTTCAGGCTCCGATCGGTACCTGTCACAGACTTTGGCGTTTCGGGGCAGGGTCCGCGGAATCCCTGGTCGTGTTCCGGTTTACGGGCTTTTGAGTGCAACGAGCCCGCCAAAGCTAGGGTTCGTCCGTCTTTGTTTTTGCTAGATCATCAGGCGGTAGCTTCAAGTAGACATGGGCAAATAGGAAGTAGATGCCCTGTGATTAGCACGAGAATGAGAATGACAAGCGAAAGCCGCTAATGCTCCTTCAAGCCTTGAGAAACTTCAATGCAGCATTGCTATAACTTCTATCATCGTAGGGTTCCTCGTCAACAGTTCCTCGATTAAGAAATCGTTGTAGGGATGTTCATTCGACAGCAGAAACGCATAATGATAAAGCGAAGTGCAACACCGAAGTCAAACGCTGTGCATACATATGAAGGAGAGGGACCGAGTGAGAGAGAGAGAGAGAACCAGCTTAACCGCTTTATGCCCGAAGGACATGCTAGGCCTCAGAAATCAGAACCCCCTTATTTTTTCGTTGGTTGTGGTGCTTCGGGTTCGGGATGCGCAGCCACTAGCCGACTTCTGCTGACGAGCCATTCGCGTTCGAACTGTGCCCACGGAGATGGCTTTGTGTGCCTTTCCTTACTACCCCATTAAGCCACAGAAATACGAGGTTAAACTTTCCCATTCCTACTAAACTATACGAGCCCAAAAAGTTTAAAGGTTAGGTATTGGGGATCTAAGTTTCTCCGAAAGTCACATTTCCTGCCTGCGATCACGTTGCTTGAAACAACGACCACACGAATCACTAGCTTCTGCATTCTTGCACTGTTTTAGCCTGCCACTTGAAGCCACGTGCGAATACGGCGGCAACAAGCCGCGGCCTAACTCGAAAGCAAGTACTTGGAGGCCCTGTTGACTTAGTAAGTCTACTTAGTATCCCCTAGAAACCCTATTATAATCCCCATAACCCAGCTTACTAACCCTAGTTACTAAGTCAAAAGGGCCTCCAAGTAAGCCCCAAGCTCCGATCCTTGCTTTTTGTTCCTGTTGTTCCTGGGGTGTCTCGGCCAAAGTCTAAGCTGTTTAGGAGTTTCCGAAAATGCGGGACCCGAATATAGTAAGATCCTTATTATTATAAGGATCCCAAAATGAGGTACCCCTAATTTTCGGAAACTCTAAACCCTTCTGGAGCCCTGTAAAAGAACCCTTATAGTACCCTTATAGAACCCTTTAAAGGAACCCTCAGGTACCCCTAATTTTTGGAAACTCCCGTATGCAGCCTTGCGAACAAGGCATCGGTCTCTTTGAGCAGAATGCGAGATAGAAAACACCTTACATCACACCCTGAACCGAAAATCCTCTAGGCCCCTGCTCGCTTGGGCTTCGGGGTTTAGGCTTCTGCCCCTAAACCCTCATTTGGACTCCTCGAAGACCCAAAGAACCCTTCACTGCATCGCTCGCCTCGCACAGCAGCGAATAGCCGACCGGCCGCATGGTCTGCAAAGCAGACCAGGTCGAGGCCTGAGCTGACAAGCTTTTCGACGCTCACTCTCGCACAAGGCGGGCAAGGCTCCACGGACAAGCTTTCAGGGTTTACGGTTTAGGGGTTTAGGGAGGTTTGAGTTTAGGGTTGAGGTTTAGCAGGTTTTCGCCCACACAGCTACCCTCTAGCATACCACCAATACCCACTATTAAGGACCATAAGGGCTCTATTAGAGGGCCATTGGGGTCCTGGAGGGTTTTAAGGCTTAGGGCTTTTACGGGTTTAAGGGTTTAGGGGGTTTAAGGTTTTAGGATGTTTTAGGGGTTTGAGGTCTCAAGCATTTGGAGTCTTAAGGCTTGAAGGGTTTATTGGTTCCTACCAGGACTTACCACAATACCTACTATTTGCAAGATCATGGGGACTCAGTAAGCAAGCTTCTCAATACCTTAACCGAACTGGGGTTATCAGTTATAAGTAATTAAGCAGAAGTGTAATTCCTTATCATAAGTAGAGTTACCCTTATCTGCAAGCTTACTTACAAAGTCTCGGGATCCTCCAAGTACTACCACTATTTACCATAAACAAGGATGTTCTGAGAGTTTATAAACTTCTCGCAAGGAGCTCCCAGATGCTTAAGTTCAAGAGTGCGAGATGGTTCGAACTGGGTTTAGGGTTTAGGGTTTAGGGGTCGAATTTTCAAATGACGTGGTGCGACATAGTGGCGGAATCAGACTATTGGCTGGTGGGGGCGTAAAGCCCTAAATCGCGAACTAAATGCCCTAAACCGCTGTAACCGAAACGCCTGAACCCGAAACCCTAATCCCCAAACGTCAGACTCTAAGACTCCAAGACCTAATCCCTAAACCTTACAAAAGCTCCGTGAACTGAGGATAGCTGCTGGCTCCCTCGACATGCAGGCGCCGGAGGATCTCCTCGCGGTCTTCAAGGACTTCAGGGCTTACCTGGACCCTACAAAACCGTCGATTTTGGGGTTCCTTAGTATTATTTCTTTATATACATATATATATATATATATATATAATAAGTCCTTAAAGCGGTACGTCAGTCGGGGTCCATGTAGGGTTAGGGCTTCAGGGTTGGCTGGGGGTCTTACGGAACTTTCTTCCCAAGGGCCAAATGATTCGCATGACCCTTCAACCCAATGTGAGAACATTTGAGGGTGCGTAAAAACCCCCCACCCATTTGCTTGACCCTGAATTCGGTTATCGTTTGTTCTTACTCTCATCGTTTTAGAGGACTTTGGATGACTTTGGGACGGTAGGATGTAGCACGTCAGCGCTATCCTTCCCTTCTGAAGGAAACAGGACCCCTTTTAGTGTTAGAACAAAGCTCCTTCAAAGCGGTCCTTATACAGGTCTATAAGGGTTACTATATAGAATAGGGTTTTGGTGCCCATTATAGTATAATTGCTGTAAGGAGCCCCCCAACATAGTATAGGAAATGATTACTGTAAGGCCCCTGTAGTACGCGGTTTAACACCTGCGCGTTCAGCTAAGTGAGTCATCCCTCCTGCTGAAAACAACCCCGACTTAGCTAACCTTTCCTGGCACTTGTGGCGAGACTTACCGTCGCGAGTTCAGCATGCGAGTTCTCGTGCAGAGCTTCGGGTGGGGGCTTGCGAGGTTTTCGGGTGGGACTGCAGACACGAAGCGACGTGAACCCGAACGAGCTGAAGTAAGATCCTAAACCAGAAATAATTACACAACCCTAGTTATTCAGTCCTGGTCAGATTGTATTAAATGGCAATAAACATAGTCTGTACTTTGGCGAAAACATGCGAAAAAATTAATCTGAAGTCCTGTCGCTAAACAGGACAATCTGACAAAGTGTTTTGCGGATGTGTAGGTTCCTCGTGGGCGGGGTAGTCCGTGGCGACGGCAGCCAGCATTGCCTGCATGTCTTTGCACACTGATCAAAGATCGAGCCTGAAGGCACGACTAAAGCCTTGACCCTTTGTTGCAGGCTCTGGGTTCAAGTAAACCCCTTTGAGACTCTGCTGGTCAGTTGAACCCTAAACCCTGAAGCATGGCTGTAGTTCCAAACATGTGCGAGCAGCAAAAGAACTTGGCATTCTTGCGGGCGGAGTAATGACTGCACAGTTTGCGATCCCAAAGCTTCGCAACACCCGACACCCTAAAGCCCTGCGCAGCACCGACAGAAACGACTGGTGCTGACCTGAACCTCATGTCAGCCCTAAACCCAAAATCCTCCAGTGATCCGATGGATTGCCGACTCAACAAATGCCCAATGAAACCCGCTTCCCTCAAGGCCGTTATAAGCATCAGGACAGGTCAACCCCACATGCGCCCGGTGGGTAGGGTTGCTTAAAACAATCCGGCTCAACTCTTACTTGCTCAGCTACTTAGCCACGGCGTGAAAGAGCATGATCTAGGGGCCTTAATAATCGGAATGGGGTTTTGGGGCCCACCCAATATACTATAGATATAAATAATAAGGACCCCCCCCCCCCCGCAAAAAAAATAGTAGAGGTGATTATAAGGCCCGTAGTTTGATTAATTAGTTCAAAGTCACCCCCCCAAAAAAAAAGAAGTATAGGTGATTATAAGGCCCCTATATTGATTAGTTTGGCTTGCCGATGCTGTGCAGCCCGTGATGTTTCAGATCACAGCTCGCGTCCTAAGCCCAATGTAGGGGCTTTACTCGTCAGGTTTTTTGGGGGTTCCTTAATACGATACTTATAACAGGGAACCCTAAGAATATTTGGAGTTTGGCTTCTAGAGATGATAATTATGGTCGACTATGATCCAAAAACCCATTCTGATTGTGAAGGCCCCTTATTAAGACCTCGGCTTCCAAAATAGTATAGGTGATTATAAGGCCCGTAGTTTGATTAATTAGTTCAAAGTCCCCCCCCCCAAAAAAAAAAAGTATAGGTGATTATAAGGCCCTTGCAGAGCCTGGCCTTCACACGCCGGGCCGCTAGAGGCCAGGAGTCGGAGTCCTCGCCGGCAGCGGGAGTTTGGACCTTCGATGTTGAATTTATGCCGCCTAGGGTTTAGGGTAGAGGGTATCATGGGTAACTTAAGGTTAACCTTTTTGATTATATAGGGATTATCCTACCCAAAAAGGGTTACAGGTTACCTACTCTACTACCAGGTAATCGCCATGGCACCCTTCGAAAACCAGGAGATTACTGCTCTTGTGTAGCACTAAAAGACCAGACCAACATTCATGTTGCTGAACCCGCGGTATGCAAACGCATGAGACGGGAATTGACTGCTGCCTCTCCACCTCTGTCGAATTTTTGTTCAGGGCTGTCAAGTTCGCGTTTGAAGGGGGTTTGGGGCGAGAGTCGGGCGCTGAACAGATCGCAGGCTTTTGCGTCGATCGGGGTCGAATATTCTAGCAGCCCCGGAACACTTGATAATGGATTGTGTACTACTCCCTGCGACCACATACCATGAGTAAATGTTGTTTCGCTGCATTTCACAATCTGAAGTACGCAGAGCGGCCACCCAACTTGTTGACTAAACTGCAAGTAGCCCCAAAGCTTCAAACTTCTGGTAATGGAATATACCTCACATCAACTTACATACCCGGTCCGTATAATTAGGGCAATTATCTTCGTTCTCTGGGTGCTCACGACGCGCCGTGAAATTGACCAGATCTTCCAATAGCTCTTTATAGTTGAAGGAACAAATGGAACAAGATCGCATTCCTATGTAATGTGATCTAAGGAGTATTCCTCATTTAACTAGGCTAGATTGGAAGATCCGGGTGCCAAAACCTTGGCTCATCATCCATGTGACCTCATCCGCAGGTAGCTGCTTCCGCTTCCCGCCGCACTGCCTGGGCTTCTTGGGGTTTCCGGTGTGAACCAATATAGGATTTCACGACAGCTTGGGCGAATCCAGGGTCAATGCGTCGCTGGAAAATACCGAGGTTTCAATGTCCCACACAGCCAAACCTCTTCCCCAAAGCAACTATGCCGACCATCTGTGTTATGAGTTTACATGTCAATCGCGGTAATCGGCGAAACATCTGATATGGGTTCACTTAGAGTGCCTGGAAGCCCGTCGATTGCAACTTTATGCTGCGACACCTGTATGCCGTAGTCTAAGCAGCATCCCTTGTGCATTCCGCGGTTGATCTCATGTTCCAAAACATACAAATACATTAGGAGACCCACAGATGCACATAATTTTTGCTCCTGCTAGCACTTATAGTGGTATAGCTGCTTGACACGCCTGCATTTGCGGGAAAACTAAAGACATGCCATCTGCTCTATATGTGTATGTATATCTATATATCTATGCATCGGGTGTAGCTTCAAAGACTGTGTTTTGTGGTGGTAAGCAAACAAGATCGCAGGCTGCAGATTTTAAGCCACTGCGGGTCTTAGGCTCTCGGGCTGCATGCTTTGTGATGTGCTTGCCCCTACAGGGACCAGATCTGCCGGAACCCTGCACTTTTCAAGTTGACTCGCTAAGCCATAAGCCCTGAACCTCTACACCCTCTATTACTGTACAAGTACAGTAGTAAGGCCCTTCTCAAGCTTTTGGGCTCCGGACTCCGCGGGGTGAGGGAGGGAGGGACTGGGGACTCGTTTCAGCCCGAAGTCCATACATTTTTCACACCTTTCTGTATATTACAGTATGTTATAGTATTACAGTCTATCATAATACATGACCGTATCGTGTAATACTATTACGCACAACCTGATGCAGGGTTTGGGGCTTAGGGTGTTTCGGGCTTCTTTCACGTGCTTGAATTTTTCTATAGTTTGGAACTTTCCTAGGGTTGGCCACCTTCCAGCTCCCCCCAGTAGCCTCTTAACAAAAGGATTGCCAAGGCAGGGACACCCGAAACAAACCAAGACAAAAGCCTACTACGCAACCGCATCTGTAGAAGCCCTATAATAATCGCCTTCCGATGTCTTCTAGTGCCCATCGGGAAAAAACAGAACCCATGTGCATATATTGTTGCATGATACATATATATATATATATATATATGCATTTGCATGGTATATATATATATAAATATAAATATAAATATATATATATATATATAGACATGTACACCTACACATACCTTTGTCATTGTATGTATGTATGTACGTATGCACGTACGTAGGTATCTATTGATGTATGTGTGTATGTGTGTAATTACGTATGCAGACACTGCACACATGTATGCAAATATGAGCCCTCGAAGAACCCTTGCAAAGGTTCCGCCGCACTGAGCCCACGGCATCCAGGCCTCAGGTCCGCAACCTGCGTCTCAATTTGGGGCTTTGGGGATTCTGGGATTTTGGGTTTAGGGCTTTTGCTGGGCTTTGGGGGTTTGACAAAAAAACACTCGGTTTAGGGTTTTTAAGGGCTTTCAGTCAAGGGTTCTTGGTGGGTTTGGTTAGGGGTTTAGGGGTCTGTAGGATTCTTAGGTTAAGGCTTCGGCTCATGGGGCTTGAATGACTTCCGGGGTGGGTAGTAGCAGGCAGGGCTACAGGCAAGGCAACCAAAAGCAAAAGGTATCTCTAGTTAAGGAAGGTGCGGTACATGCATCCCTACTTCAAACTATCTTAAATGTCATGCATAAGCCCCAAAACGTTGAAATGTGGCAGGGGCGGCACGGGACCAGGAGCCAGGATGCTGTTTTGGAGTCAATCTGTATCCCGACCCATATCAAAGCCTTACCCTCAGGACGTCGATAGTATCCGTGAATCGCAACCTAGCGCTTTCAAGCCTTGCTGCAAAATCACAGGCGAGACTCCCTGCTATACTATTCTATACGCAATCAACAAGGTCATGGAACTAATCCATACATATACTCTCTCGCAACAGAAGCTTACTAATCTTCCAAAAAGTTCAACCCCGAATGCTAAACCAAACCTTAAACACCTAGCTCTAATACCCTAAACCCTAACAGCCCCAAACCAGTACAGGCCAAGTTCCAAGTAACCTCATAGTAGTCAGGGTACACTTTTTGTCAGGAGCTCCCAAATTTACGGACAACGGCTCGAAAAGCTCAGCCGCCGGCTTCTTGAGGAACTCGCGGGCACGGCGTGCATCGGTAGACCAGCCAGTATTGCCTCAGTGCTTTGCTTAGCAGGATTTTCCCGTTGTCGTCCTTACTAAACTGCAATACTCAGTATCTTAGGGCTTGCTAAAACCTTGGGCTTTACAGATTGCGAGTTAGCATTCATTTATCTATGGGGCTGTCGGTACGATGTAAAGGTTTACTAGTTCATGGTTCGGATAGGATTAGAAATTTACATTTTTATTCCTTATTGGGTTTAAGTACCCTTAAGAATGTAAAATGTTACCCAACTATGACGAAGTTTAGTAGAGAAGGCTGATGGTAGTGGGCTCTCAATTCGCAGGGCCCAGGATTCGATGCTGTGGGAGTTGAGGTAAGGTTTAGTTTAGTGCTGAAGTGTGCGAGGCATAGGGGCTCCGGTAGAGGGTCAGAGACCGACCAAAATGAGCCCTTCTGAAAACTTCTTGCGGAACTGACATTTCTTGCTTAGGAGGCGGGTTCCCTCAAGCTGCGTACTGCGTCGCCCCTGAACCCTATACCAAAGAACAGAGAAAACAAAACTACCCTTAACATTCTAGAGCTTAAGCAATGTCTTTTAGGAATCCATGCCATCCCTGCTGAAACCCGTATCCCCTCAATCGGCTGCAACCTCACACTGGTCTTGAGGGCGGTTCCTGCAGCTGTGCAAATTCATCTCCCATGGCAGTTCTATCCGTTCGCTGCCGGCCATGTACGGGCGCTGAGAAACGCAGGGTTTGGCGTAGGGCCAGGGGGTTCAGCGTGCGTGGGGTTGAAGGCTCTATTGAACTCACCTGCATCAGTGCGCAATCAGCTTTAGCAGCCAGCATACACATCCATGACTTGTTGTTCGGGTTACGCTGCGCTTGA